TCAAGGAGGCCCTGTATACCGATTTTTAGCCAAATCGAAAGACCCCGCCGTTTCCCGTTAAAATGTTAATTGATCGTTAACTCGTTAACGGTGCAAAATACCACCCCAAAGAGGTACATTTTCGGAATCAGCGCATCGAGGAGGCCCTGTATACCGATTTTCAGCCAAATCGAAAGACCCCGCCGTTTCCCGTTAAAATGTTAAATGGCCGTTAACTCGTTAACGGTGCAAAATACCACCCCAAAGAGGTACATTTTCGGAATCAGCGCATCGAGGAGGCCCTGTATACCGATTCTCAGCCAAATCGAAAGACCCCGAAATATGCTGCTGTGAGGCTGATATTCGTTGCCGCTGAATTGATAGACGTCCAGAAGTATCCCTAAGTAGGTTATTTTTTGTACCTCAACCAATTAATAATAAACCATAAGAATATAAGAATTTATAGGTACTGTATATAATTATATCCTCGCCTAAAATATCATAACTTTATCTGAGAATAAGTATACCTATATCATATCACTGTGATCTCTATGTTCGCAGGGAATCAGTTGGCTCGAGACAAGGACGGTTTAGACACGGCCATGGGATTGACTTGGACATGAATCCTTTGAGCTCGTTAGAATTTCCTAGAGAGAGAACAGAAAGAGGATTTTCGTTTAAGCGTCTTTGTTTATGCATTGATCAAGTCGCATTATCATGCCTGAAACATGACTCACTCGTTTTGTAGCTTATGCTACTAGTGGCTTATCATATAGTTAGTTGGTTGGTCAGGGCTCAGGCATTCAGATGAAATCTCAGCACTGTAGTTTTCAAGTAATTATAAGAAAGCAGCCTATCCCTCAACAGAATAGACAGATGCTAAGAGGCAGCAGACAGTGGGATCCGCACGGCCCGAAGTTCCCGCCACCGATATTGGTGCAGTGCGGGTTGCCTAACCTGCAGTCGCCCGCCGACCACCACGCTCAAGACGGGACAGGACATCAAAACTGATATGGGACGAGTTACAAATTGCACACACTCATTCGTTCCATTAGAGGCCACCAGGGTGGTAGTCAGATCGTAACACATCGAGGCGGGGGAGAGGGAAGAGGGGAGCATTTACCTACATACATTTGCATTCAACTCCCGCCTCCCGGTTCATGTGACTATGGTCATTTCACGTAAGCTCTCTGGTCACGTGGATAAAATTCGTTATCTATCAGTGTTCAAAATGTCACCAAATGCCACAAAGAAAGTAGTCGGCCATTTTTAAGTGAAGGCAAGGTTAATAGGCCACCAGGGGCTATTGAACGGCAATGTTTGTTTCTTCTACATAGATTTTGACGTTTGCAGGTAAACAAATCGGCACATAACTCGTGAGCTAGAACTTACAACAACGAGGAAAAAGATCCGAAAGTCCTTTAAAGCTCTTCCACTAACATAAATAGATCTTTGAGGCATAAAGACATTCATATCTTGTAATCATCTATGTAAGTACTCTATCCCTCGCCGGCACGGGGGGGGGGGGGGGTGATGCAACCCCCTAAGGTTTTTCGCAAATAACTCGCGTAAAAAGCGGCCGATCGCGACGAAACTTTCAGTACCCTCGCATTGATAAGTTTTACATCTAATAATCATATAACTTCATGACCGTGAGCCAAATGACCTTTGACCTGTGACCTATTTTCCGAGACCATGTTTGGCCGGAATCGCGATTCGGCGTATGTCGGCTCGCATTAGCCACGCGTTTGTAAGCTTTTCGTGCTTTCAAGCGTTCATACATGTGATATGACGTTGCTCTCATGCATTAGGGTGGATGTCAAGATCACCTGAAGGTCAGGCCAGGTCATTGACCTTTGGTGACCTCGGCTCACTTTTTCGAGTTTTACATGGTTCTAGGCTAGTTTTTGGAGCTGAATTCAAATTCAGCAACCATTTGAACATTTACGAAGTAGTTTTGGTGCTTTCGTAACATGTTACAAGGCTATCAGAGGCGGTTGACACGTACTACGGATACCCGTCGCGATTCCTACTGGTTGACCTGACCTGATCTGACCCGACCTGGTCTAAATGCTTAACCCGCGCCCGGCTGGGGGTCCTGGATTTCCACGCCCTGCTGGGGGGGGGGGGGGTGTTTGAACACCCCCCTTCTAACTCGGCTCCTGGGCCACGTAGCGATACGCGGAAGGCGGCGTTCGAAAGAGCGTCAAAAATAATGACGAAATCACTTCGGTCAATTTTTTGGTCAGGTCAAAGGTCAGGTCACCAGAGGTCATTGAAGGCAAAATTTCGCCGATTTCAGAGTCGAATGTCGAAAATTTCCAAGAAGCCAACGCATAACTCGGGAACCAATAGAGCTACAGCGCCGCGGAAAAGCGCATTCGATAGCCCTATTAACGCCCTTTCTGAGTAATTCTCTCAGATTTGACCTAACGTCAACGGTTTTGCCTGCAGGGGGCAAAAACTGCAAAAATAGCTGATTTTTTCGGAAACAGTTTTTCTGCAATAACTTTTGACCCAAGCCTTGTACGAGCTTACTTTTACCGGCATCGTGTTCCTCTCGTCAAGACGCATCGAATGAACTATAACTTGACCTTGAAAGGTCAACTTGAAAATTTGACCTCAGGTCAAGGTCATGACCTGACCGGAAAGGGTCATGTTGCATATCAGTCGATCCGTATCGTCGAGCTGAACACATCTAAGGCGTTTTCATCGCTCTAGCATGCCTCTATCAAAAGTTATTTGAGAAAAACTGTTAGATACCATTCGTGACCTAACATGACCTCAGGGCATAAACAGGGGTCACGGACACCATTTTCATGTTCAGTGTGTCTAAACCACTTGTAATTCGGTGTTTGGGAGTGTTTATAATGTCTGTCGTCCAAAAGAGGCGCATTTCAATTTTCTCCCATTGACTTATAATGGGGAGGTCGCAAAATTGACCTGACCTTAGGTCATGGATATCAAAATTCTGAGATATACATTTTGTACATGCTATTGCTCTTAGCAATCGCTGAAAGTTTCAAAGCGATCGGTCACTCGGTGTAGCTATGGCAGACATTGAAACTTTTTATGAGGTGAGGTCACTTCAAGTGACCTGGTGACCTGACCTTGAATGACCTTGGTCTGAAATTTTCACAACATGTGTAGAATTGATGTATGATAAGGTGTACCAAAAACGGCGGCGCTCCGCGCCGCCGTTTTTGAGATATTCGCGAAAAACCACAAGGGGGGGTGTTCAAACACCCCCCCAGCAGGGCGCGGGTTAAAGACATCATTTGAAATCAAAACTAACACGATATTCGTGATCAGTACCCCGAAAACCCCGTAGCAGCCACACTTCTCGACGTTCTAACAGGTCCCGAGTTTCCCGACTTTTGGGTCATTGACCTGACCTGGAAGGTCAACCGATGACCTAGGACCTTCAAATCGGGTATCATCGGCTTTCGCTCGTCACGGGCAACACGCTCTTTTTCCGCGAAGCTCTAGCTCGATCAGGGGCCAAACGCGAGGATGGAGCCGTACCACCCCCTCCCCCCTTGTGCCGTCGAAGGACGTAAAAGGGCCTGTGCCGGCGAGGGTTAAGTTCCTAGGTCATCGATTGACCTTGCAGCCTGCAGGTCAGGTCAATGACCCCAAAGTTGGAGAAATCGGGACTTGTTAGAACTCCGTAATGTAAGGCTGTTATAGTTTTTCATGGTGCCGATCACGAATTGCATGTTAGTTTTGATCATAGATGATGTCTTGATGCATTTAGGCCAGGTCGGGTCAGGTCAGGTCAGGTCACCAAGTAGGGGTCTTACCGGGTATTCAAAGTAGGTGTCAACCGCCTCTGACAGCTTCGTAACATGTTACGAATGCACCAAATCTAGGTACTTCGTTCAAATGGTTGCTAAATTCGAAATCAGCTGCGAAAACTAGCCCAGAAACATGTGACACTCAAAAAAAGTGAACTGAGGTCCTCAAAGGTCAATGATCTGGCCTGACCTTCAGGTGACCATGACACCCAATGCGTGGGACCAGTATCATACCACATGTTTCAACATTTGAAACCATATACAAAGACTGCAAACGTGCGTCTAATGCGAGCCGACATAACTAGTAGGTACACCAAATCGCATTTCTGGCCAAACATGCCTTCGGAAAATATGTCACAGGTCAAAGGTTATTTGGGTCAGGGTCATGAAATTTTCAGGGTAGGTGTAAAATTGATAAAATCGAGGGTACTGAAAGATGCGTCGCGATCGGCCGTTTTTTACGCGAGTTATTCGCGAAAACCGAAGGGGGGTCCGTTCGACCCCGTCTAATACGGGCGAGGGTTAAAAGGTCACTTATGGTTAACTTAAGTTTTACTTAGGTCAGTGCAATGAATTGAATAAGATTTAAAAGGTAGTGTCGCATATCGGTCCACACGTGTGAGTATGTGAGTTGTGAGCAATTGTTTTAACCACTCAAATTTTGTTTTAACCGGATGCAGTTTTCAAATTTAGTGCGCATTAATCTGTTGAACAATGTTCGCTAGTGATAAGCATGATATACTTCCGAAAAGAAACGCAGTTAAGTTTTTCCTTATCATGGATATATCGCTAAATTGACCTGATATCAGTTCACCGTATATGATAGGTAAATACCAAAACGATGCGTCTCGACACTCTTATCAATCGCTCAGGCTCGTAGTAATCGGTCTGTAAGGCTATGCGATCATTTTTTTTTTGTTCTTGAGGTTAGGTCAATTGACGTGACCTGGTGACCTGGGTTGGAACGAACTTGATCTGACATTGTAGGTATATGTGCCAAAAGTGTATCGTGTGCAAAAAACGGCAGGACATGCCCCGGCCGTTTGCCGTTTGGAAAATATTAAATATACCTACATACCGTAAACCTAATCCTATGCGAAACCTTAGGACGTAAAAACCTCCGAAATGGTACGCTTTAAAAAGTGCAGGATATGCCTGCGATTAAAAAGAGTAGACTGGTCTCCATCTCCCTCTCTTCAACTATGCGACTTTGCTGTTTGACAGATGTGAAGGTGGACAACTGCACGGGGAAGGTGTGCACGCTGCCGAAGGGAGGCAACACCGGCATCACCATCCGCTTCAGGCCAGGTGAGTTGCATGTCGTGGGGTCGGGCTGAGCCGTAACTACATAGTCGCAGCCAGGAATAGACACAGGCAGGGCTGCGAAGTCGGAGTCGGAGTCGGAGACATTCGAAGTGGAGTCGGAGTCGGAGTTGATTTTGGAAACCGGAGCCGGAGTCGGAATCACCGAAAATCCAGCGACTCCGCAGCCCTGCCAGGTCTGCGGAGTCGGAGTTGGAGTCGGTATGAGTCGAAAATTCTGCCCCGAGTCGGAGTTGGCTTTTGAAAGCCTGAGTCGGGAAAGCCGGAGCAGGGCCTAGTCGGAGTCGGAGTCGGGGTCGCCGAAAATCCATCGACCCCGCAACCCTGGACACAAGAGGGGTGGGAACATTAGTCCTAGGTGATGTGATGTGTGATTTGTGATTTTAGGTCGCCCGGACTTAGTCCTAACTCCTAAGTGAAAGTTGACTTGTCTGGACGGGTGCTGGCATCATGAGCTGTCGGTGATTATGACGAGATCAAGCAGCTTTGGCTCGACCTAAATCGCTAGTTTGTTTTTCCTCGGTAAATTAGTTTTATTATCAAGTGATCAAATTCGCCAGGCATCTAACAAAATAACATTTGCTTCGAAACACATTCTTTGCTCTAGCCCCTAGCTGCGATAATACCTAATAACGCGGCTTCCTATGGCCTGGCCACTTCAGGTCCACATGCACTAATCTTGACACCTATCGAGTGTCAAACATTAACACTAAAGCACTGAAAAAACCTTCGTAATGAATCTGAATCGTCCAATCTGTCACCGTCGTTTGACCAGTGGCGGCGCCGGCTGTCCATCGCTCACCACCCGCTGCTGACCGCAGATAAGCCGTACGACCGTCTGAAGGCCAAGGTGACCGGTGTTCTGGGCGGCATTCGCGTGCCGTTCGCCGGGGTGCCGTCGGACGCGTGCAGCGGCCTCCAGCAGGGCGCCTGTCCCGTCCAGCCCGGCCAGGAGTACGTCTACCGCGCCGACATCCCCGTCTCCAGGGCCTACCCCAGCGTGAGTACACGGTACCCGTCTCCAGGGCCTACCCAGCGTGAGTACACGGTACCCGTCTGCAGGGCCTCCCGGCGGCAGTATACGGTACCCGTCTCCAGGGCCTACCCCGGCATGAGTACAAGGTACTCGTCTACAGGGCGTGTATGTACTCCAGCTTGAGTAAAGCATCACCGTCTCCAGGGCCTACCCCGGCGTGAAACGCCTCTCTTCAGGTTGAACATAATTGTTTGGTGGGCATGGAATCTGTAGTGTAGCTTATCCAGTGCAGTCTTTTAATGCTATGGAGTTCTATAGCCTTGAATGCTATAATCTGCCTAGAAGATAACATTATTGTCGTACCGTCTCCCTATACGCATGTCAACGTATGCGTGTCACGTGATAAAGCCCGTCGATGAAAGGCGTCGATGCATATGTAAGCAAAATAGCCAAAATGGGAAGGTATTTTCACTTGCCTAGCTCGGGATCGACGCACCCAGAGCTGTTCAAAATCCTAACTCGGTGCCTCAATTTCAGATCAGCGCAAAGGTCGAGTTCCTTCTGGTGGATGCCGAGACGGACGAGTCGGTGGCCTGCAGCCTGATCCGAGTGAGAATTCGCTAAGTGTCGTTTGGAGATGCTCCAGAGACAGTTACGGAGACTGAGACAGCCACAGGGACTGAGACAGGTGCTCCTCCCCTCCACGGGCACGGCCAGGGGACAGTGTGAGGTCAGCTCAGTGCCAGCAGTGCGCAGTGCGGGCTGTTCCTCACACAGCCCCATGCACGTGGACTCCCCTGACAGTCAGTGAAGTCGGGGCGACTCCTCTTGCTGTCGTCAACCGGGTCGCGATCTGATCACGGATCCACCGGCCGTTGACCGGAATGCTGTACTCGTGTGGTGAATGTCATTACACGCCGCTGCGCGCCTCCGAGATGCTATCTATGCGACCATGTCACAGGCGGCGAGTAGCAGTGTGTGCGCGAGGGCGAGCCTGCTGGACGGGAGCCGAATCCTGAAGAAACATGTACCACAACAGGGCTATCTTGTGTCACCAAGAGTCATCTTGCAGCTGCATGCACACGTGAAAATTATAGCGAACAGGCTTCTATAGGTACACATATTGATGATTCGGTAAACCCACGAATAAAATGTTGAGGTCTTTGGACGTTGAAAGCAGTTCCCAGTAAAGTCATGGGCGGCCACACGCCGAAATGCATGCTAAAACATTCAGCATTGTGGCAGCTACATTGTGTAGATTCAGCATTGTGTGATCTTACCGGGTGCCGTATAGATCACGTCGAGGTGTTCGCACAGCTGTTGCGTTTTAATTATGCTACAATGCTGCGTTTCAGGAAAATGTTTTCTTTTTACAAGCGTTTCATGTTTGTTCTTTCTCCCAGTGTGGTGTCACAATGCATAATTTGTGAGTTAAAATGTATTTGTGCTTACAAGCTCTAAAACGACGAGAGACCATATCATTTTTATAATGACCGCCGACCGGTACGCTAAATTACCTGGCTACCGTTTGTGATACAATCGATCGTGTTACCCCAATGTTTTATGAATCTGGCATGTGGTTCTAAAGAGGCGAAGAATCGCAACTCATGCACCGGTAGGCGGCAAAAGCGAGCGTTGTGACATGCGTACGTTGTGTAAATGTTTGTTATGTGCTAATAAACTTCAATTAAATCGTTGCCAATCGGAGGTAGAAGGTTAGGTATGCTCATGCTGGTTGTTTTTATTTCACGCATCGCTTTTTTCGCCTGGAACATATAGGTGGGCTTTGAAAGAGCATGAATAATTGGCGAGGCCTATTCCACAATGTTACGTGAAAAGGTCAAACACGATGAGCTCAAATTGATAGGACGCCGCGCACTTCCTTACCCAATTATTTAATCATTTCAGTCATCAAAAGTTCATTTATCTCGAACACCACCATCGGTCAATGTGCAGATTTATAAAACATGCGCTAAAGCTAAAAAAGCTGTCTTCAGACTTCAATCATTTGATAGCGCTATTCATGGGACAGATATGCAGCAGCCAGCAAACATGCTTCCATGCTGCACTTCATCAGGTGCCCACCGTCTAAAACTTTAAAGTTGAACAGTGCCGAACTGTGGTTGAAAATAGACGAGTGGTGCCATCGAGACCTCTGTTTTGCACGCTGTTTAACACTCATCCCGATATCTCTGCATAGGAACTGAAGGAAGACTGAGAAAACAGACGCTCAACGACAAAGAAGTCAGCGCTTTTGCCCTCTCATATAGTTCTGTTGACACTTAAGTGGAAATACGAGGGGGTATCGAAAAGTTCTGATCATCACCATGAATTAGATGAGATAGAAATCTGATTTTTTTACATGATGTTCATTACTCCTTTACAGGTCACCACACACGACCGCAAACTTATTGCATCGTTTCTTCAGCTGCCTCAGGCGGTCATTGCAGGACCTTCGCACTGTCCCGTAAATCACTGCTCCACCTCATCAATGACGTCATTTCTGTCCATAAAACACCGGCCATAGTGTGGATTCTTCATCTCCCGTAACAATCAAAAGTCAGTTAATACCTGGCCAGGTGCATTTGTTAGATGCGGTAGGATTTGATGTCCACATCATGTTGTTTCTTCAATCGCAGCTCAGGACGAATAGGCGTCCTTCGACGCTTATCGCTGTCGGTGCGGATAAAACATCTTTCTTGGGCTTTTTTTGCGGCGATTTTGCTTGAGGCCATCTCGCAACTTCTTCAAAAGTGTGCAGTAGTGCTTGCTTATCATTATCCGACCATCATCAAGACAGTCGGTAATGACTATCCTACGCCAGATCTAGAACACTGATAGCATTGACCTTCCATATCGGCTTCTGCATCTTCGCCTTTTAAGAAGGACAGATGTGCCGTGCTTAAACTTCTTGATCATCTTTTTGTCTCTGGATCATACACATAGACCCATCATTCGTCACAAGTCATCAAATGATCGAAGATGTCTTCAATTTCCTAAAAAAGGCCTAGTTTTCATTTCGAAGGGCCAAGACGCATTTTTCTCTTGAACAAAGTAGACACACGAACTTCTAAGCGGGCTGACTCCTTTATCGTCTGTAGTTCTTCGCTGATAATATTTTCAGGCACTGCCAGCATCGAAACCTTTCTGTTGCACAATCATCTAAAAGGTCACACGACGATCTGTAAGGATGAGGTCCTCCACTTTCTGCACAGTCACCACCTTGTCAGTCATTGGTAGTCACTCACTTCTTGACTTCCGTGCAAGGGCCATGCAACAAAGTTGAAAATTATTTCTTCATTTTCGGTAAGTGCATGAGATGGGCTTTCCTCGCCATAAACTAATTTCATGTTCTTGATGCATTTTCTCAGTGTGATACCGTTTCAAATGCATTAGTTGGATGACGGTTCGGTCCTCAATGGGCCCAACACTAATCTTTTTTACTTCTAAGTCTCTCTTCCATAAGATAAAACCAGTTCTCAGGATTCTCTTTGCGGGAACATTGTTCTTAACAACCAAATATCACACCAACCAAAAATCATCAAAATCGGTCTACATCTTCTATGTGATGATCAGAACTTTTCGATACCCCCTCGTAGACTACTAAGCTCTACGCCCATTGCGATAAATGGAGGCGTTTCAGTTCCAGCGATCGGCAACGTCAGTATGCAGCCTGTTCAGATGACCGTCCACCGAATCTTCTCGCCAAGCTTCTCGCATGGTTCGTAGTTAGGTCACCATGCAGAGAGCAAGGACGCACGCCATTCACGAGCTCATGGAACGGATGGGGACACCGGTGACAGCACACGGGGCTGTCACGATCCAGCGGGCCCGCTCCGGCTGGTACCGTGCAGTGGCGTAACGCCGGCGCGCCGCTCCGGTCGCGTTTCCACACCGGAGCGGCCACCGGCCGGGTCTGACCGACTCCCGAGAGATCTGCCGAGTCACCCCGGAGCCGGCGGCGACAGCCTCCGGGTGACAGGTGCGGCGCCGGCCGTCATCGTCAGCCCACTGCTGCCGTCTCGCAACGGCACTCAAGGCCGCGCGTGCGCCGCGCCGCCGGCCCGTCAACAGCAGCACAGCCGTGACATGGTCGTGACGGGGCGTCACAATTGCCGCCGTGACGCACGGCGATCAGCCGAGAGCGCGTGGCCTCGGCTGACGTCCCAAGCCAGCCGTCCGGAAAGTCCCGGCAGCTGTCGGTAACAGTCCGGTGGGCACACTCCAAAATACGGGGCAGGTCTCGCCCATCAAACAAACCATATTCAGCCCGGTATCGGTCTACACTCGCAACACTTACGAATGCTTTTTTAAGAGCTTATATATACGTTAGATAAGTCAAATGTCAGGAACCTGTCAAAGAAGAGCATTAAATGCACGAGCTGATCGAGCTTTGAAGGCGGGGCAGAACATCGTGTGGGATCTGATAGCCAAACTGCTGTGACGGAAACGTTAGCGAATGAAGCGTCGTCCTCTCGACCTTATCTCACAACGGGGTATCTCATCTATCTGGGTATTTGGGTATTTCACAAGATAAAAATGACCAGTCCAGTCGAGGTCGCGGCTACGCAGACATCATTGCGAGAGCAAAGTGAGCCGTCTACTCACATTGCATTAGTGCACCGATGCGACGATCCATGGGATGTTCTATAAGATACAAGAGAATCGAAGGCTTTTCTTTATTTTTTATTTTAAGTGCAGAAATGTCACTGGTCACGCTCAACTTCCAAACCTAAGCCAATAGTGGCGATCACTCAAGGAAAGCCGCAAAATACCACATAAGTATCCCGATTACAATAACATATTGCAGCACATCTATTGACACACGACCTGACCAACGATTTCTGTCGCAAACCAGCTTAAGATGTAACAATCACCACAACTCAGCACCCGCAAAATTCGTGATATTGCAGGCACTTCTAGGCTATCACAATGCAATCTTGCTCAACTGAACTAACGAAATGACTACTACTTATTCTTTCTAAGAAAGCCGGTGTAAATCACTCTTTATATGAGCTGTGGTCGGGGCGAGTTTCTTAACCTATACCTATGGTTCCAAGCCGACGATTAAAAGCTTAAAACACGCACCTCACAAGCAATGACAACATAATCTTTCGAGATCTAGAAACAAGGCAAATCTCCGTGATCAAAGCGTGTGCAATAGGTGTGTTCACTAAACAGCGAGTGACCTTACCCGATAATGCACTACGGTGGGGGCAAAGGGGCCAACGATCTTACCGAACATTGCCAGTTAACCCGAGAACTGCAAGCATGCTAATCCACTTGTGATGCCGTGTTGGAAAGCAGCTCGGCGTAACCTTGCTAGGCCACCTTAAATGCCTCGTCACTCGTGGCATATCTTTAGCACGCTTAAAGTCTACAGCTAGTGCGAGAGTCTTCAAGCCCATAAAAGTAAGTTCTAACAGGGATGGGTAGTAATAATAGATCATTCACAAGAATTAGAAAGGACTCGTTATAACGTCGAACATTCGTCCGCATCCAAAGGAATCGGTTGCAGCGTCTGATCAGATGTGACCGAAATGATCATTCTCTGGCGTAACCTTCGCACTGTTGTGGCCAGTCGTGGCCAACAAATTAGGCTTTCAGTAACTTTTGGATTTTTTTTTTGCTGCATCCAATCTTTGATACTAATCCTAGGTGAATATATGAAAAATAATACACGCATTTAATTGACTCCCCAGCTGAGTTATTTACAGCTAACCCAGATCAATACTCGCTGGCTGACTCTGTCACGTCAGAGGTGACCACAACCTGAAACCGAAACTCCCCGATCTCGTATAGCTTTCTGATCAAGCCGCACGGAGCCTCAGAGAGAAAACGGCGCCTCAGCTGCAAGTACGCCTCATCTGCCCCGTTTTTGGCGATAGGACCCGACGTGGGGTACACCAGCTTCCACGTGATATTGACGGTCATCGTGTGACCGTCCTCTTCGTCTCGGACGGTGATCAGGTCGGTCAGGCGGTGCATGTCGCCCAGCAGGGGCAGCGTCAGCGACTGAGAGCGCCCTGGCAGCACGGGCGTGCCGCCGGGCAGAGAGAACACCCGGAACTGCTCGTCAGGCATCAGACTGGCCAGCTGCGGGCCGTGCACCTCGCGCGTCTCCTCGGTGAGGGGGTTCTCGATCACCAGGCACCGGTCCAGGCGCACAAAGACCTGCACCACGCGGCTCTTGTCGCGCCACCGACCGCCGCCGCCGCCGTCCGCCTCGGCCTCTGCGCGGTACTCGGCCAGCAGCTGCTCGGCGTCCAGCGGCAGGTCCTTGCTCCAGAGCCGCTCGTTGATGGCGAGCAGGTACGGCCGGCCCATCTGGGCGCGCACCTCACCTGTCTCCGTGTTCTGTACGTACACGCCTTCGGTGGCGCCCAGAGCGATGACGCTGTGCTTCCGGAGCACCTCGACCTCAGCGGGCGGCGCGACCACGGCCGGTCCGCGCACCGTCCACCGGTCTCCCAGCGCGCGCTCCACCGCCGGCGTCACCGTCTCGTCCGTGAACGCCTCGCGCGCCACCAGGTCCAGCGCGTCAGCCGCCTCCAGGAAGTGGATCTCTCGGACCCCGTTATCGAGAGTCTCGTCCGGCTGCAGGAGGAAAGAGAGAGGCCCGCGCACAACCCTCCGCTTCGGCTTCTCGCCCAGCACGGGCGTGCAGACGATGCAGTACTGACGGTTCGTCAGGGTGACCACCTTTAAATCCAGTACGCCGACCACCTCCTCGGCCATCGACGGCGTGTACATGCCCTTCTTCCTCACCAGCCACTGGTCCCCGGCCTGACGCTGCGTGCCCTCGCTATCAGTGGTGTCATGCAGCGCGCGCAGGCGCAGCACCTGGCCCTCGCCGACCACCGGGAGCGGGCGTACGCCGCCGACCAGCGTCTCGCCCGGGAACAGGGGGAACGGAGCCCGAGTCAGACGCATCTCGCGCTCACCGTGACGCAGCAGCGCCTGGCCGAACTCGTCGAACGCCACCTGAGTGCCGTTACGCACCGCCGGGTTCTCGACGACGCAGTAGTGGGCTGGCGGTACCACCACCATCGGCTGCGGGCCAAAGATGACTCTGCGAAAGTACAACAAATTTGACAATAAATTGGTTTGTACCAAAGCATCATGTGAATTGTGACTGCATTCATTCTCTTCCCACATCAACATTAATAATGCCATCCCTCCTAGATTATTTCCCAATATCACAGGCACTCTAACTAACCTTTCACTTGGCTTTGTGCTGAAGCTACGCTGGCCAGTCACCAGTCGGGTGACACCTGTGTCCTGGTCCTGCACATGCAGGTAGGTGAAGGCCCTCAGCACGTAACGCTGCACCGATGACGACCCAATAGGTGATGTCACAGCCAAGGACGACTCAGACACCACACTCCATGTGTCGGCCATGGTGCTTGTGTCATCAGTATCAGTCTCCTGGCAGTGACAGCTGCTGCTAGCTGTGGTGCTTGACTGTGATTCCATCCTGCCGTCAGCCACCTGTCACTGAAACAGACAAACAATGCAATTACCACTCAAAATAGGAAGCCAAAAAGGAAGGTAACATTTTTCATTTTTCAACAAACTATAACAAGAATTCACCATCGATTATTGAATGGCTAGAGCCTAGAGAAAACATGACTAAAACTAACTAGCCGAGTGAGACACAAACCTTATTGCTCTCCAAACTGTTGGGTAAGCCGTAAGTATCGCAGTATCGCACAAAATTCGCTATTTTTCACAAATACCTTATATAGCCTTGCAAATACCTATCACCTTTCCTTTACACACTATTTGGCTTGCCCCCCACACAGTCAGACGAAAAGTCAACAAAGACATTTGTAAACAAGGACATTTTGTAAAGCATAGTTGAAAGTTTGATGACGTAATTAGGATAGATGATTTTAAAAGACAAAAAGGAATGGATTTACAAAAAGTGTGCCAAACTATGTTGATTATTGTATAATATATCAAATTTCAGGTCTTCAAATATATTGAGGGAAAAACATCAACAAATATTCCAGAAATTGGCACGAAACTGGTATCCAAAATTTTTGTATACAATGACGTCATTAAAATTATTTGTCAGCCAGTTAGAGTAAAAATAAATTGTAACGAATTTGCGACGAAGAGCGACGCAGCTATCTGAGAAATAGGACGGTAAGGCCGGTATTTATATACACTGTGGGTAAGGCGAAAAATGGTGGCTGGTAAGGCCTATGGTGCATTTACATATTGGGCCCCTCAAACTTGAACTTAAAAAAAATACGCGTTGTAGTAGTGGGATTGCGCCAAAAATTTCAGCGCACATCCAGCGTAACTTCGCGTGCGGCGTGCGCCGAATTCAGCGCATGGTGGCGGCTGAATTTTTCGGCGCAGGGCGGCCGCATAATATTTTTTGTTGGCGAAAGACTCACCGAATGAAGTCGGCACGCTGTACGATCTAGCAACAGATTCGCCCTGTGGGCAGCTCTGGAGAAGTTTTGGGATGAGACATTCCGCCCCCGACTGGAAAAAATGCACGCTTTCGTCGAGAACTCGAGCGTAGTTGGGCGTTTGCGCCGAAAATTTTCGGCGTACTTCGGCGTAAATCGACGGCTTGCGCCGAAATTTTCGGCGTAATTCGGCGTAAATCGCGAAAAAAAACCGTCAGGGGGGGGGGGTGGCACCACCAACCCCCCTCGGCCGGCGAGGATTAAATGTCTTCGGGAGTTAAACATCTTAAATATCACTTATCTTGTCACGTGTTCGTCTCAGGGTATTTAAGTCATGTTCAGTGAACCTGATTGTGACTCTCCCACGGCGGGAACAGTTCACCGGTCGAGAGTGAGGTTATGGATTGTCGGATTCCCTAGTTCAGATAACGTATGCTATCGTGTGCGTATTGACCGTTGTGATTCCTGTATTTCCGGCGTGTGGTTTGCGAGCGGACGCTGGCAATCGGTCCCGCGTGGCCTGGTATCTGCCCGATCCCATCGGCCGTGCTTGCACCACGCCTGTTGAAGGCCCCGTCAGGCGTCAGTCACCGGTTGGGCACTACTGCTGATCAGAGCCGGGCAACAAAATAAAGGTTACATTATGGAACATGCCAGTGAGCTTGTGAGTCAGGAGATTTTGTGATAGCGAACGCTGGTGCTCGGTCCCGCATGGCCTGCTGATGTCTATTGTCTGCCCGATCCCGTCGACCGTGCCAACAACCGTCTGTAGACAGTAGTCACTGGAAGACAGCCACACACACACGCCAGCCCCCCCCCCCTCGACGAAAAGTGCGTGGCTACAGCCTGCAGCCATCAGTAAGCCTTGAAAATTTTCGGCGCATGAAGCATGGCTTGGTAAAATAATTTCGGCGCATAAACCCTTGCGCCGAAATTTCGGCGCATCACCTCCGCCGAGAACTTCAGCGTAGTGGAGGCATTTTTTCCAGTCGGGATTCCGCCCAGGTCATTACGTGCCTGAGCCCTGAACTGGCCAGTCACCCTGAGTCTACTTGGCAGAGGAGCAGCTGCCCGGGTGAGGCCTCAACCCTTGGCTTGGAGATAGGTATGGAAGACCTAGTTGAACATCGCTGAGCATTGGGTTAGGTTAGGTTGTTAAGTAATATTTAGTAATACTGTGGCTGGTTCTTGCCCACTGCAGTATCAAGGGGAATGAGAGCGTGGACGACCTGGCGAAATAAGTGGCCGCCCTGCCCTCAAACGCCTGCTCGCTGACCAGGGTTGTTCATTGTGTGGCCTTGCATGAATGGCGTGACAAATAGTCCGAACACTATTCAAGCCACTCCTTGAGAGCACGTTGCTGCACCCTTACTTACTTACCACTCTGCGACAGCTTCGTCGATGGAACAGGAGCCGAAGATCCGCCTCCATGCCATCTCCGCTCCTCCCAACACGCAGACGTCGGCCAGGGTTCGACGAGACACCGTCCCGCTCGCGAGCTGGCACGCCATCCTCCCACGGGGCCGCAGAGGCCCGATCTCGCGATCCAGCCCGGCCCCGGCCTCAGACCGACACGGGCCATCCTCCCGAATTCCGCTTCTCCTGGATTTGGCTTCCTGGCATCGTCAGTTTCCATCTTGAATTTGAGTAGTTGCTGGAAGTCGGAAGCCGAGAGGACGAGGACGATCCTGCTGGTAGCGGGCGCGCCATTGCCCGCCAGCCGGTCTGCCTTCTCGTTGACTTCCACGCCAGCGTGGCCGGGGCAGTATGAGCCAGGTGATGCGCCTGTCTGCCCACCATTCAGGGGGCGAGACGCCGCCCTCCAATTTCCGCAGGAGAGACTGCGAGTCAGTGGTGACGACGATGTGCTGACAGTCGGGTAGGAGCTGATTCAGGGCGTTCAGTCCAACAGTGATGGCCTCCGTCTCAGCCCGCATGCTCGAGAGCACGAGCCGCGTAGCTCCGATACGCTTTGGGTGAGTTCAGCCGAGCGGATGAAGCAGCCCCAGCCGCTCCGGGGAAGGGGCTCCCGGGTGACTGATCCGTCGGTGGCCAGCAGCGCATCGCCCTCGGACATCAGCTCCTCGAGCAGACTCTCAAACTCCACGTTGGTCACGCCCGGCGGCCACTCACGGTAGGACCTGCCGAGGCTGTGATGTGAGATAATGCTGCTCCTTATCCCCAGGAAGGACCGAGAGGATGCCGTTTCGGTGCACCAGATGAGGGCGGGCCACTGGCACCGCTCGCTCCAGTATGTGCACCGAATCGGCTGTCTCCTCTCCGCGATTGCCAGCAGTGCCCAGACAAGCGGTACCCCGCGGCGCTCTGCGCCGTGTGCTGAGAAGAGACTGATGTGCCGGAGCACGTGCTGCTCCGCTGCCCGGCCCTCGCTGGCTTCCGCCAGCGTCGAACACACTGACACACTGACACCGCTCGGCCGATTTTGGTGGCCCCAGAACTTCCGGCTCCGACCTTGTTTCACGCTACAGTCCGTAAGCGTTTTGAGGTACCTATTGGGTTTCCGTGGAAATAAAAAAACTTGTTCGGACGCTCAAACATGGGAAAGCGTCTAAGGCCCCGAAATGCTCTGTCTGGGTCTGGCTGATATAGCCTTGATCGTAGATGTGCACATGTGCATTATGTAAAAGTGGCTTAATTTCGGCACAAATAGGCATCTCATTTTGGCCGCAAATCATGCAGAAATTTCAGCGCAAAATCGCTGAAATCGAGTGAGTCCGGCGTAGTGTATGGATGTTTTCCAGTCTGGCGTCTAGGTAGATATAGGTATCTACCAGGTATCAACCAGGGCACTAAAGAGTCGTATCTATCTAACTTACCATGAAATGCGACACGAAGAAATACGTGGACGAGGTTTTGCGGACGAAGAATTGCCATACGAGGAGTTGCCCGGATGCCTTGCCATAGGTACCTCTCGTACATCATTTTCTCTGACAGTCATGTGTCACAAAAGCACGTAAGCCTGGTATCACACTTGGGCCTGACAGCTCCACCCGAAATCCGCACTGCTCCGCAGTAAATCGGCAACGTACCGCGTACCGGCCGAGTGCCTCCATCCACACCGACCGAGCTCGTCGAGATTGGCATGCTTTGCGATCCAGACATTGATTACAGTGTAACTCAGTAGATGTTATATCGATCCCCTTGGGCTGAAGAGCTCATCAGTCCCCTTGCCTGAAGAACACTTGGCATTACTTGGCATCGGTGACCCGAGGCCTTGTGACCTCTAAACTTAGCTCACTATGTTGCCTGTGGGATGGTCTGATGGAGTTATAAAGTCCTAGCTGACGATGTCTATACATGATTGACGATATTGTATGTTGTGCCCGCAGGCTAGCTCAAGATGCGTGTTGAGCGAGGGAAGATGTGTCGAGCGACATGGGAGGCGCTCAAGGCGCACATCATGCGCGATCGGAAACGAAAACGCGATGGTGAGTGACCGAGTCCAATGTCCATTTGCATTGTTAAATGCTAATGGTCACATGAGTTTGCATTATCATACACTGAAGTTTGTTCAATGAGGTATAGTCTCACAGATGGGCTTGACAGTGTATTAGAGCCCAGATATGGTTGCATTGATCAACTAAGCATGGAGACTTTCAATGTACACTGCGCTGCACCCTGTACATACACTGCGCCCTGTTAATAAGTGGTAAGGTGTGCTATTAAACATTTATATTTCTATTGATGGATGTGTGCAGCTGCACTATGGAGGCGTTTTCGTCAGTTATGTAGCCTAGGGTATGCATTGAGCATATTTTTGTTGTTCCTTTACTGTTGCAGTCCATTGACACATTCCCATGCTGTGACAGTTTTGTCGACTCATTAGACAATGCGTCATCACGATCTGCCATAAATGCTTCCAATGAGCACTGACTGACACAAACTCTCAACAGAAATGGAGGCAGACGCCGAGGAGGCCAGACAGCGGCTAAAGCGGGAGCAACTCAAGAAACAGCACACCTCGTCCCTGCAGGACACGATCGCAGAGACAGCGCAGGTAAAAAGGCTAGCAAATGATAGGTAGTGCCCAGAAGGGAACAGGGTAGGTTGGGACGGGCCGGGTATCACACAGGAGGAACCATCGGTGAACTGTACGGTTATAATACTCCATTGCTGCTCCGTGTATGACCACTCCCTTTCTGCGGTGTCCCCCTCCCCCAGCTGGAGACGCGTCTGCAGGAGCTGAAGAAGGAGAAGCACGAGATGTTCATGAAGCTGAAGAAGGTGTTGAACGAGGACGAGACGCGGCGCCGCCAGCAGCTGATGAAGGACGCCCAGGCGGCCCAGGCGGCGCAGCAGGCGCTCGGGCCGATGCCCAGCATGCAGCCGGTGCTGCAGCTGCAGCCGCCCATCTCACAGCACGGCACCGGCCGGATCACGCTCAACAAGCTGCCCGGACACCACCCGTCACTGCTGCCCATGGTGAGACAGCACGTCAGTTACTCGCCTTTGGTGAAAGGCGATGCCAGTAATTGTCAAATGGTGAGGTGACCACTGACCAGTGGCAGTAGCGTTGGATCCCGTCGTGAGGTCCGACAGTCGACATTGCCTGTCCCGAAATGTTCACTATGCTCAATCTTCTCCTTTTTCCCATGCGCTCTCCGACTTTGTTCAGTGTTCTGATTGGTGTAACTTCTGGTCAGTGACAGTCACAGTGTTATCACGGTGTCTGTGCGATGTGTTACAGGGGATGAAGCGGACCAGGAGCCCGTCGCCGCCGCCGCCGCACCAGCCGCAGGCCTATCGCCACGAGTACTTGTACAAGGGACAGCCGCAGCCGCCCAGTGAGTACCAGACGCCGATCTCAGTGCGCTGGGGTCGGTCGGTCGGACGGACCGACAACGCACTGCTGCGCTGCTCTTTGTAGGCATTGTTGTTTGGGTTGGGCTTGCAGGATTCATATCGTTAGGCTATTGAGACCTCACTATACGTCCGGGTGTTCATTGAATGCTGTTCATGTTTCAGCTCTGTCATAAAGTTTTTTCTGACTGGTAGGTCTGCAGGCTGTTGTTTCGTGGCTGTTCGGTTATCCTTTTGTGGGGTGTTGTTTCCGTCTGCCCCGAGTATAGACTCACTACGTTTCCATGACACGTCTAAATCGATTTAGCGAAATTTCACGTGCGTTTTTCTCGGAAACTATTCACCTTATGCCAAAAATGAGCGTATATATGGTTTTAGCTGGCACCTAATCCTATATTTACATTTTTACATTATGCCTAAATGCTATGATGGAGCAAATCCATTTTTTTCAAAATCGGCTTAACTTGTGCCATGGAAACGTAGCCACTGTCTTTCCCTATAACTGCCCAGTACATATTGTATAATCTCTTGCTCCCTGACTGTCCTGTATGTATGTTGTACCCCCTGACCGGTTTTCTATTCCCCCAGTGAGTTACGGCGGCCCGCTGTCAGCCGGCCACCCGCACGTCTCGGTGGCGTCGGCCGCCATCCGTGAGGAGGCCCACCACCCGGCCTACATGCCGGCCTCCAGAGGTCAGTCGGCGCTCTCACTGCCCGGAGAGCAACGGTCGGCCGCTGAGCTGGGACGCACTGGGGCGTCCTGCCTAATGTGGTTGACAGGGTTTTTCATTTCATGTGTTGATAGTTTTCCACACACTGGCTGTTGGGACTCAACGGTGGTCGCCTCTTGAGCATATAATTGATCTGTCACATATTCTGTGAAACTCCTTCTGTACGTATTCCGTCTGTCTTCTTTATTCATCGACAGATGGCACAGTGATTTTGGGTAACATTTATTGTTTACTGTCGGCGACTAGCGGTTTACACATACCTACTAACTGCTGACTATGGTGTCGTCGCGTGTTTCAGGGTACGGCATGGCGTCTCACAGTGTAATAGATACCTCCCGGGAGAAGGGCGACTACTACAGCTCGTCGCCGCACCGGCCGCCGAGCCACCTGGGGATCCGCTCCTCGCCGCTGCAGCTGCCCGTACAACAGTCGCAGGTCAGTCGATAGGGATGTTGGGGACGGCGGGACAGTGACGGTGAGGGGTGACAATGACACGGGGCAGGAAACACTGACGGACGGGGGAACAGGGAGCACTGACAGCTGACAGGGAAGAGAGGAAGTCGACGGGGAGGGGCGAGAGTCACTGTGACAGGGGTACATGAAAGAACACCGGTTGGATGCAGGGATACAGCAGCTGACAGGGACACTTACAGGGGACGTTTCTGACAGTACACCGCTAAGGAAAACACGCTTACAGTGACGGACGGCTCACATCACTGACCGATATTCAGTGGACGGACAGTCATCACCATCAGCTTTATTGTATTCTCCATACGGAATGGAGTCGGACAGCTCACGGCTCAGCTGACGGACAGCTCATACATGACAGACTAACAGACACGTGCCAAACCCACCATCCCACACTACCCCGACTGTCCACTGGACTATAGTTCGTTTTTCTTAAGTTTGCCCCTCACTGTAAACGTCTTTTTGAACACAGCACGAGAAATGCTAGCTGAATTACTGAGAAAACAGGTTGGCGCACATTGTATTGGAGATATGAATAATATTTTCAAAATAAGTTTTGAACACCGACGATGTATCTTTAATGTTAAACGCCGTGCAATTTATTAATTAGTTCAGACATAATTCCTAAGAAGTCGCCTATCACTGTGGAGCTGTAGGTATGGGTAAATACGAGCTATGAGTCTGTGAAATAGTTAACAAATTTGATGAAATTGATCGTCTGTGAAATCTGGTGAAATCAATGTGCGCCAACCAGTTTTCTCAGTAATTCAGCTAGCAATTCTCGTGCTGTGTTCAAAAAGACGTTTACAGTGAGGGGCAAACTTAAGAAAAACGAACTATAGTGTAGTTAGCACTCTCCGCCACGGAGCTGGAGCGGCCTGTGCTGTGTTTCAGGGCGGCAAGTCGGGCGGTATCACGTCCGGCTACCCGGTTCGCTCGGTGGGCCCAGGGGCGTACCCGCCGGCCAGCGGCGCGTCACCGCCGGTGAGTAGGCCGCCGCTCGGCCGGGCTGGCAGGGGTGCGCTCGCTGGTGTGACCGATGAATGGGCTGCGGACGTCAATCTGTCTCTCCTATCCCTTATCTTCCTCCCCCCTTGCCCAGTCACCAGGGCCGCCACTATTAGATCCAGCCTAATACCTTCCACAGTTCACAGTAGTGACGTGAACTGGACGGCCATCAGAGCTGCTGGGTATGTGGACGGGTCCTGTACAGACACTGTGTTGGGCCCCTCATTACAATACAGATCAGACACCTGCTCACCCGGCATTGATTGTCGGAATATTTGGCCATGTTGCGAACGGCTGTACCGGGACGAAAATTGCGATTGTGTCCACTGTCATTCTTGCATTGCACTTGTGATAAAATCAAGATTTGGGGCGTACCCACTACCCAGTGCAGAGGGGACGGAGGGCTGTGACTGGGGCTTGGACTGTGGTGTAGTCTGCAATAGCTAGAGCATCCCGATTTCCGCTTTATGGGATGTGTGGGATGAACTATAGGAATCGCACGGATTGACTTGAAGTTGTATGCACCGCCAACTCAGAGACGCATTCACCCTCTTATTGTGTGATTGGGCACTCCGGACCCCACCCACATCGGCGTGCGATATCCTTTCCCAAAGTGCGAGTGACGTTGGCAGATGTCACACAAGACTAACCCACCGGACGCTTAGTTCGAAGTCATTTCGCTGGGAGCAGTTCGACCGTCCTTGAACGGTGTTGGCGGTTCCTGCAGCTCGGCGATATCGTATCTTCTGTGCTGTGAATTGTATGTGGTATCTCGTGTGCTGTGACCGTTGTGTCTCGCGGCCGTTTTGTGCCACACCTCAGCCAGGTGACCGAGATAGATGTCAGTATGCTGACGTATTGTCTGTGGCACAGGCTGCCTGCCAGCGTGCCAGCGTGAACAGCCACTAACTGTAGTCTGCCGTCTTTTACCAGGTGCCGCCGTCGAGCCGCCAGGCGCCGGCTCCGCCCAGCCATCAGGCCCGCTACTATAACTGAAGCAGCCCAGCCAACCGGGACAGCTATATCATCTGAAGTAGAACCAACCATGCCCACTGCTACTGAAGTTTGCAGCTCAGCGAACCGGCTAGATATTCCTGAAGCGGCTTAGCCGCGAGGAGCGCTACAATTGAAGCAGCCTGACCACTTCGCCCGCTAGTAGATATGGAAGCAGCCTTGCCACTTCGCCCGCTAGCAGGTCAATTGAAGCAGCTCGGCCATCCGTTTCCGTACTGAGGCAGGTCTGTTATCGGCTTGCTTCAACATTAGCCTGACGAGTAACCGGCCATCGAGCTGTTGGGTTCGGTTGTCTCTTGCCGATGACCTTTGCAGTGGCTAGCAGAGACGGAGGGCTATATCAGGCCTACATAGCCGGTCTGTGGACCATAGTATATGACCGGTTGATAAAGATATGCTGAGAGTAGGTGGGTCGGTATTCGGTAAAGCTGTGGACGTGAATGTTTATAGAAGCGGCTAGATGTGTGGGACAGGGCAGCAATGCATTGTAATGTTTGTACATAAGTCTCCCTAGGAGCTGAGCTCTACTGCTTCGGTGTCGCAAGTTTTCTGTCGCACTGGCTCATGTAATCGATATGGGTGCACCAGCGCCCCCTAAGCTGAACTTTACACGGGCGATCCCAATTTTGACTGATCATTTCTAGGAAAGCAATTTGCGATTAAAACCGACCTGCTCACCGTAGGTATACACATAGCTGCTGCAAACCCGAACCAGCCATCTGTCTGTGTAATGTTTATATGTTTTATACGTGATGTCACAGAATGCAGTCCATTTTCATTACTTTTTTTTTTAACGAACGATTCTTCTTGCTTTGTATTGACATGACTTGGTCTTAGCTGGTTTAGTGGTATAAGCTACTTTGTACATATGTGATGTCATTGAGTAGCTGGCTGTATGCACTCGTTTTTGTAAGGGAAAGTCAACCTTTTCATTGATCGCTTCGTCTTCTATTGAAACACATCTTAGTTTACACGAATGTGAGCGCTTATTCTAATGTGCAGCCATCTTGTCCTTTTTTCGTGGAAAGATTGTGTAATAAAAACGTAACGAACGGCATTGGTGTTTCGAATATTTGTGAGAGTGAGAGATACAATAGGGGTCGTTTTGGGCTACAGGACGTCTGATTTTCGCCTGCCTTCCACCAAAAACCGCCGGTTTGTTGGGAGTGGGACCTTACCTGCACCCGTCCGTCGTTTCCATCCTCAGGACAAACGAATCCTTAACCACCACGCCGCAACCCTCGGTCCGGGCTGGACCAGGACAGGCAACTTCATCTCATGCGGGCTGCTCCCTTGGAGCGGCTCCGCTGCTCCCAAGGGAGCAGACCTGTAGCCGGGTGCAGTGGGTAATAACGGGGCTGGTCGGCCTGTCCTCTGGACGGGCTCAGCCCCGGCGACTCACTAGGGTGCCTGCCCAGACCAATGTCTCCCCCTAATTCCTATACTCCTTCCCGACTCTGAAATGGGCGCCGATGACCACTGTAGTCCGGGCGCCCAAAAACCCCAATTCATCATCAACATCATCAGACCGAAAAGGCCTAACCCAACAAAACGAAACAAGGCCTTCCCTGAAGAAGACAGGATTTCCTGGTCGAAATGCGCCGTCTCCCAAGTTCTGAATGCCCCTACTGCCCCAACACTTGCTACTCTCACTCCGCAGCGTAAACATGGGCAATTGGTTTGACTTGCAGGGGATGCGAATTGCGAAAAAGCGATAATTCAATATAAGGGAGTGGTGAAGGGAACTAGAGGTTACATAATCTCATCTTCAATACCCCGAGACAATATCTAAAGACTCGATTTTTGTTCGGACGTCATTACGTATTAGTTTATTTGACACGTCTTTGGATACAAAAATATGATGGTGAGTAGAGGCGGCCGACTCGACGCGGCGGCGGAGCACAGGACCGCCAGGCCGTCAGACAGCGCCGCCTGAGTCACGAGGGCAAGAATGACCCGCGGGCCGGCCGGGCGGCGGTCCCGGGACGGCTGGGAGTCCGGGAGTAGACCCCCGACATCCCGCGGGCGGCCGGACACCGGCACAGCCTGGCAGAGTCCGGCTCAAGGCACTGACTGGCGGCAGATCAGGCCTCGCGGTGTACCGTCACAACCCAGCCGCGCCTCCGGAGCCGCGTGGCGTGACACGGGGTGGACATAAAGCCGCCAAGGAAGGCACAGACGGGCTGACTGCGTTCGCCACAATCGAGCGGCACGTGACACTGGCCAGAGCCGGCACCGCGCGGGCGCCGGCCGACACAACACTGGAGACACGACACACGGCCTGCGCCGGCCGACAGAGGCCTGACACCGTCCGACACAACACTAAACGGTATACAAAACACTAAGGCACACCGGTGTCACATACAACACTACACCGCGCGCAGGCCGCGGCGACACTATACACAGCACCGAACTCGCTGCAAAATACGCTGTCGTTGTGATAATCGCACCGCCTCAGCGCTCGCGACTGTGATAATAAGTGCGGGGGCAACAGTTGATTCCAGTCCCTCTCACATTGCCTCTCGCGGCGGGCTTCTGACTGACTTCATCGGTGGACAAAAATTCCGAATCTCCTTCACGCAACTCATCATGATGTCACATCCCTCAAACATCATCTCCTAGAATGTAGAACCCTCCAACTCGTCTCCCCTAGTACAGATCACGCTCTGATCCATCCCTCTTCCCCGCACGGTGGGATGACACTCCGCGCCGACCTTCCAGCAGCAGATCCCTCCCTCAGGCGCCGTCAGCCGTGCCCGAAGACGGCGTTCCCCTCGGCGCCCGTCATAATCACATCTACCCAGATGCGCATGGCCTCCGGGCTGGGCGCCATCAGGTAGAAGGTGCGGCTCATGGTCTTGACGCAGAAGGTGGTGTTGGGCGCGCTGCCGCGGCTCGTCTTCAGGTGGTCCACGTACACCTCCTCGATCGCCTGAAATACGCGCAGTCAGGGACCGGTCACCACAGGACGGAAATGTAGCGTGCAAACCACCATGGATATCTGGTTATTCTGCAGTGTATTTTACTACCAGTCGTTTTTTTTTTTTTTTTTTTTTTGGTAAGATGAGCAACACACAGCTTCCATAATAGCAGAACACCACTGCGTAAGAGACGGAAGCAATACAAGCGACTAGTTCAAATCGTGATGAAGAGACTTAACAGATTACTCACTACTCAGTTAATTTCCCATGTCTTATGCCATCAATACACGGCATGTTTGCGTCAGACTCCGTCTGTAAGAATTGCATCGGCACGCCCAGCCGTCCATACCTGGAAGTAGACGCCGCCGCGCGCCTTGCTCTCCGACTTGTCAGAGTAATACATGAACGTGCGCTTGTTCTTGCTGCGATCGAAGACGAACCAGCGCTTTTGCCAGGAGCGGATTCGCGAGCTGAGTTTGTGCAGGTAACCGCGACAGGCGTGCCGGCTGATGACCACTTGGTGACACATCTCCAGCTGGTGACCTGTGGAGAGGCAGGGGTCAAGACTCAGGGGTCAGACTAAGTTGAATTGATGACCACCTAGCATTTTGTTTTAGACTGACTGCAGGGTTATGGTGGCATGAGCCAGTACTGATCCAACCATCGACCACTAGTTATTCATAGATATATCATAGTCTAAGCTATACTTCTTATCCCTGATACGTGATCAGGCGAGCCAGCCAGCGCCGCGGTAGTGAGTAGAGCCACTCGGTCCCACCGGCCGCGTACCTGCTGACTCGATGTGTTGCCGCAGATCAAACTGCTGGTTGGTGATGGGCAGGTACCGCGTCAGTGGCCGCTGCTGGGGCTGTGGGGACACAGAATCACGCAAAGTTAGGCAAGTCATCGCGGTGAAGCAGCATGTGGCACAACGGCGAAATGAAGTAGCAAGCGATGCGAGAATGCGCGACACTAACGAAAACTTCAGAATCAAAAGTCTAGCTTGCCAAAAAGAAAATTTGCAACATGTAAGGGAGCATGTTTAACAATGATTATTTCTAATAAAGTAAATCAACGAGTTTAGGAGCTTCAAACACTATTTCTTTCAACGCAACCGATAACATTTCGTTCTATTTGTGGTCGTTCCATTTCATCAATCGTGGGTCACGCCAAATCTTTTCTCATGCTATCCCATTCCATCCCGCTTCTCCCCGCGCTTACCGGCACGGATACTTTGCTGCGCCGCCGAACCGGCGGCTCCTCCACGCCGTCAAACACGGACGAGGCGTCCGAGACGGGCCGCGGCGAGCGCGGCTCATCCTCCTCGTCGCTCATTGGCTGCTGGCGGCCGTCCTCGCCGCTCATTGGCCGCTGCTGGCGGCCGTTCTCCCCGCTCATTGGTCGCGGCGGCTGGCCGTCCTCGCTGATTGGCTGCAGCTCGCGGCCGCCGTCGCTGATTGGCGGTGACCGGTCGCCGGACGCGGGGCTCCGAGGTGCCTCCTCGTGAGAGCTGTGACCGTTGGTGACGCTGGAAAATAGAAAAAAGCGCAGATGAGCGAACGAGCTGCATACGGCAGCACTAACCTATTGAACATCTATTGCTACTTCACATCACTACATAAATGGCTACACATAGCCAATTGTGATTGTTGATCTTTTGGGACACCTGAGCTGCGTCGTTCCAGACCTCTAAGAGATCTCTCATACAAAGATCTACCTGACGCTGAGCCAGTGCGCTTCCCCATGTCCAATGACAATGATGCACACATTAGTTCTATTCGATGCCACCTGAGCAGCTTCGCTGTCGCAGTGGACTACAGGTTCTAAACTTCAGTAATAGGTTCTATACTTCAGTGTCAAGCTTCTGAACTACACCGTCGTGGACGGAGCGTGTCCTCCACCACGCCCCCTTGCGGACCACCGACAGGTGTCGCCCCTAACAGTGACAATGGCAGACCCCATACAACCGCACCAACTCTCAGGACACTGACCGTGGCGCGGTGGGCGGCGCCGGCTCCCCCGCCGTCTCCGGGGTCGGGGACTGGGCAGAGTGCTGCTGGCGCCTCTGTTCCTCCCACTGGGCCGTCACCTCGTCCTGAACGCGTCGCTTCAGTTCCTCCACACGCCGCCGCTCGTCCTCAATCACCTGAGTACCTGCCGGAGAGGAGGAGCACGCAGCCGGTCAGCACAGTGCGGGCTGTGCCGCAACGAGTGACCAACAATAAAACAATATACACAGTATACACAAACCAAGCGAGTTGGACAAGTACAAGAAGCGAGTTGATTGTCGAACAGGAGTGCGTCAAGTGGACGCAATCAAAGTTTATCTATCTAGCAATCACATCACACAATCTACCCGGCGATCACAGTCCCGCTGGCCGCCCTGAGCAGCCGAGACACGCGCTCCCTGTAGTGACAGGTAGTGGTGCTCGGTCACCCAGCTGTCAGCTGACACAACGGAGTCGACACGGGAGTGTCACACGCTCAGGGACACTCGAAAACAGGGCGACTGTCACACAGAGGACAGGGCGACTGTCACACCGCTGCCAGGGCGGGGCGGCCTTGCTTTGACGGACAGCGCGGAGGGGAGGTAACACTGGATATATGGGACGTGCTACTTCAGTGACTCGATGCACATTCAATCTGCAGACGTCCCGAACCAAAATCAGCTGGAAATGGTTAGAGTCTGGGCGTAGCAAACCGATTAAAAAGAGCAAAAGAGAAGAAGGGATGAATTTCCCAGACCGACCTGACGGGTCCTTCGCCGAAGCGGTTCGGACAAATCCGACCGACAAACCACAGCTACTACCGTTCAACAAACAATAACGGTAGTTCGCGAACCACATCTGGCCACAAATATGCACTAAGTTACACACAGCTGTAAAAAGCGGCGGAGCAGGCGGCCAGACTCCCTTTGAAGTGATAATTTATAACACTGCGGTGACTTCAAAGCATCATTCTTTCTTAGCAGACAGCAGAACTGCGCTAGTTACCGCAGGCATCAGCGAAAAGATTGTATCTGTACGCTTCGAAATAGCCGCTGCTTCAGTTTCGCAACACAAACAGAGGAACCGCAACAACACCAGGCAACACGAAGACATCAGGAATCAAAATCTTCAATTTGGGATGGCGACATGAGCAACTATTGCAAAGCACGCGCTGTCGAGAAATGGTTAGTGAAGCCTACTTCACGGAATGAACTCACTTCTCAACACTGATCTCAGCCTTTCTTTGACCCACCGAACCACGACAGATTCCACCCACCAGTCTGGGGGAGCCTGTCCGGCCGACTGGTCACGAGCCCACCATCCACGGTGACCAATACGACACGACGCACCGCGGCGGAACAACACGGATCTGACGTCACACCTAAAACAGACTGTGATTGGCGGAGGACAGAGGTCGAGCCGGAGTGGTAATTTAATTAGTGGTTCGTGACAGGCCTCGCATGCTAAATGACCGCGATATGAGCTATACCTGGGAGGGAGGCTCAAGTTTCATGGCCACAAGAAGCCATGCGCGAAGGCATTCCAAACTTTTTAAAATACCATATAAGTTGTCGTCTGAAGGGACTAATAGGAAAGAAAACCGAACCAACATAAAACTTGTTTTTCATTACAACTTTCAGCGAGCCAATCGAGATATTCGACCTAATTAGGAAAACCTCATTTTGACCCCTGCAGAGCCGCATCGCCACGCCTCAGAAATGAAGCAAAAAGAAAATATTAAAGCCAGCATGGTGCGAGATAGCTTTTGATATCAAAGAAGATGCCTATCTTTAGAAAGCCGAGTGAGATGATGGGATCCAACGCTGAACGTAGAAACTCTAAAACCGTGAGCCTGTTTGTACGTCGCTCAAACATTTAGCGAGTGGTGAATGATATTTGGCCGTCGGCGTCGTCACACTCCGTAGCTAACACCGAAACACAACAAACTGAAGCGGTCACACCACCATAAAGATCGGGTGAGCCTGAACCAACAGCTCTCAGCGCATACCATCCAGTCACAGAGCCGGCGGGCGGCTCGGCCGCGGCGCACGGCCCGGTTCATCTCCGGCCGATTACCCTGCCGGTGCCACCCGATCTCAACCCCATCTTCAATCACCTCACGTACCGTCCGACCCGGGCGGCAGCGTGTTTACCGGCAGTCGTGGCCGCCGCCCGCTGCTCTCTCGGCGGGGGCGGGGGCGGGGGCGGCCGTCTCAGCCGGCGGATTAACGCAGCGGCACGAAGCCGCCCCCGCCCACAGTGGACCCGGCATGACCGGCAGTAGGGTGCAGGTGGGCGGCACATGACTGGAGAGCGCTACACGGGAGCGAGCCTGGGAGAGGGCAGGCCTGGCGACACCCAATTTCCACCGGTCCGGAGACAGGTGTGCAGAACGAGACGACAGAGACCGAAATATGCGACGGCTGTAGACACTGACAAGACGCACTGAATGCAGTCAAACATCAGCATAAATCTACCAGCATTTATCACAGCTCCTCACACAATGAGCACTTGTAGCAGACATATGACTGCGAGACAATGCAAGGAAATGCTTAGCTCCGTTTGGGCTAGTGACGTCGAGAGCCACGACAACCACCTACCTGCCAGGCGACGGAGACCGCTGTTCTGTGGCAGCCTGGTGTCGATACCCAAAGTCAGTTATCTTTGATAACGTCAGTCGCAACATTGACGGATCTAAGCCATTTATTGGGGCGCTATGGCTTGATAAAAGGCCCAAGCGCGTAACCGAATGCAGTGAAACGGATGCCTTTTTGCGAGACGAAGTTGACATTAGCTGGTCACGGTCGACTTCCAAACGCTGCTTTGAGCTTTCGCCTCTGACTAAGGTACCGTAAATCATTGCAATTATCCAACTGTCAGGGTTGGAGACCAGGAGACGCCTGCAGAAGGCTGCTCATTCGAGGACGGCCGATTGAGACTTACGAGGGGCGGGCCGCTATAACTCACCCTTCCCGACCAAACTCAGTCGGCCACATCAACCACTTGTCCGTGCAGGATTCCAACCCCCGACGTGACCTCGAATCTCGGCAATACCCTGCTCCGATTTTATGACAAACACTCCTTTGTTCTGATAACTGATTACGACATTGCCCTGCAGACAGAGAAAAATTCAGCCGCCTTGACATTTTTAAGTGTTAATCACGTTGTCACCAACCCGGCGGCGCTCGGCTAAGCCCCGAACACAGCTCGGATACATCAGTCCGCCGCCTCAGCAGTGAAGACTCAGCCTCGGACCGACTAGCACTGCCTGCTGTTATCAGCAGCACCGCTGATCCGAACAATGTCGCTCGAATTTCCTCTGTTACGATGCTCTAAACGGCACCAGCCGAGCTGGAGTAACATGAGAAATGACTGACGCCATCCAGCCCGGGGAGAGGGGGGGGGGGGAGGGGGGCACAATACTGGCGCCAGTATGCCACCACTGCACTGGACAAACCATGGCGTGCAGGTCCGATATCGTACAAATCTAGTCAATGTTAGTCAATAGGAGAGTGTAGGACTAGGATATTCCCTACGCAGGCTGACTCGCGCCAAGCCAGTCCTACCTTCCCCACCGTTCACACAGCTCACACACCGCTGAATTTCCTCCTACAACACCTCATACCACACCCGGCCGGGCTTTCCTGTTCCATGTGGTGGTCGCAGATCGAGGAAGGATATAGCGGTACCGTCCACCGGCCGGCCGGACGGCCGGGAACAATGTGACAATGGACTGCTGGGTTGCAGGGGTGCGGCACGGCCAGGCACAGAGCACGGTCAGGCACGACACAGAACACGCCAGAGAACAATGGCCATGGCTGGACATACGGCAAATGAGATGGTGAGGCGAAATGCAGCGAGATGCGGGCGAGATACAGTCATCCCGAGAACGGATTAAAAGATTTGTGAAATAATGGAACAGAGCATTAGCCAGTTTGATTAAGTTATGTGACATATATGTATGTTTGACATAGATGTTTGTCACCAAGTCACATAGCTACAGCAAGAGCAAAATGTTCATATTTGCGAGGTAATAAAGTGCACCACCGAATCATTTTTAAAACTGTGTCATAACTGTCTTTCAGTAACAACAGCATAAATCAAAATAAGAATGCCGTGTCGCAACCAATCGCAATCAATCCTCGTTTGGCCTCCGCCCAGCGGCATGTCTCCGGTACACGTTAAGCCGGAGAGCTACCACGGCTGCGGGGGTGGCAGCTCCTGCAGACCCCTCAGCTCGACCGACAGCTCGCCAGCTCCCACAGCCAGCTCCCAGCTCTGTCAGGAGGAAAGAGCTCGCCACCCCAGCCAAGGCCGGGTTACCTGAGCGCACGGGCGAGGCCGTCCGAAGTCCACCCAACAACGGCCGTCTCAACTAGCTGGCAACCTCGTACCCGTGACACTAGCCTCACTTCACCTATCTCACCTGGGAACGTCATCTCACCTCTCACCGGTCAACTCACCTCACCTAGCCTCTCTCACCTCATACGGTCATCTCACCTTTCTCACCTGGTGCCGCGTCCGGCCGGCGTGCTGTCACCGTATACGTCTTCACGCCCGGCTTACAGCGAGCCGACCGCGCCCAGCCGCACAATCCATTCCAACAGGGCGACATCGCGACTCCCGGGATACTCGCTGCCTCGGGGTAACACAAGTCACGAGGTCTCTCAACAGTCTCTCCTCGAGATCCACTACAGTTTTTACATACAGCTATTACCACTCAGTTCGTTACTTCAGAAGAGCACCGGTCAGACAGGTAGTTCCTGCAGGCTGAGACTGAGACGGCGGGGGACTCTCGATGTCAGTCAGAAATCGTGTCCAGCCTTCCCGGCTCACGTCCGGCTACGAACACCTGAGCACCTCCCCAGCGGGCCGCCGCCGGGCCGTTCCGTGGCCGACTGCCGGCCGCCGCCCCGTCGAGCAAACACTGCCCGCTCCTCGGCCGGACCACGAGCGGCGAGCACGAGCGGCGAGCACGAGCGGCGGGCGACCGCTCCAGACCAGCCGGCCGGGTACGCCCCGTCCGCCGGACCTCACGCGTCGGGCCGACACAGCAGGCACCGCGGCGGCAGGATGGATCACACCTCAGGCGTACGCATAAGCGCGAATGAGGACACGCACAATCCAGCGCACAGCGACACAGATGACAGCCTCAAGCGACTAGCCAGTTATCCGAGAAAGTGACGGGCTCTGCCCGGCTGAATGTACGACCGGCGACTGAGAGAAGACAGAGACAAGCCCAGGGGTCGGCTCGTCAAGCCCACTCCCTCTCGTCACGGAATCGGACTCTGTCACACCGTTCTTCTCAGACGTCGCTCCGCTTTCTAAGCCACTCGTCACGACCGGGGGTAGGCGCGGCGGTCGGCTGGTAGAGACAGTCCCACGGGACTGTGGCCGCAGGTCTCCACGGTCGGTCGGGGGTCGGTCACACACAAACCCACCGCTCCCCGAGCTGCACTGCACTGGCGAGTCAGCCTCAGCGGCGGGCGGGGGCGGGGGCGGGGGCGGCGCGCGCACCTCCGCCCACCTGGCGAGCACGCTGTCGGCTGGCCGAACGGGCGTGTGGGCACTGTGCAGCCCACACTCAGTGGAGAGCTGCCTCTGTGCGGACGGTGACCTTCGCACAGCAAGACCTCCCGCGGCTCCGGGTCGTCCGCGGGTCGACAAACGTCCACGGCTCCACGGTATTCGCGATTGCAGAACTGCATGCAACTCCCAGAACATTCACGGCTATGCAGCTATAGACGGCACCTCAACTGTTCACGGGTCCACAACTGTCCACACATGTGCTACCACCGGCTGACACTAACACTTGTCGACCACAGGGAAGGCTTCACAGTCCCGCAGCGGCCGTCCGACCTGCCGACCGGCCCGGTGACACTGCGCGGCGGGCAGCAGGCGGGTCGGGTCGGCCAGTTGGCACCGCCACGCCGGCCGTCGTAAAGCACCGACCGAGTCCGCCGCCTCACCGCCCGGTCCCACCGTCTCACCGCCCGTCAGTCCTCCGTCCCACCGCCCCGCCGACCTGGTCAGCGCTCCGCGGCGGTTTCACAAACCCTGTTTATTTTTGGTGATAACCGATAGGCGAGCCTAGCCAGCCAACGAGATGCCGCCGCCGCCGGCGCCGCCACAGCCATGGCAGCCGCCGGCCGTAACAACAAATAGACGCTAAATCCGATCCCGACTCGAGGTGTGAAGCTGGCCACAATCTCGCAGAAGTTCCAGGAGCAGCTGACGGGTTCCGGTCGGGAGGCTCAGCGTGCGGACGACCACCCACTTGGCAACAGCTGACCAGCCATGTCTGCTCGAGGTCCCGTCGGCGCGGCAGTGTTGATTCGGCCAATTTGCGCCCATCTGTGCGGTCACTCCCCGGGGGTGAGCAGGGTGGGCCTGAGTGCCCGGTGACCGCTAACGCTAAGTTCCGCCTCTGGCCGACTGTGAGCCTACACAGACAGGCGGGCTCCGTCACAGACGGGATGACCGGCTCGGTGTCTCAGCCCTGACCCTGTCCTGCCAACGGCTATAAATATAGCACCCCGGGACCCATCAGTCTCAGCTGTCGCGCCGCTTCTGACAGACTCAAACAACGCATACCTGTAACACGTCACCACTATAATCCGTCTCTCTCTCTCCCCTCTCTCTCTCTCTCTCTCTCTCTCTCTCTCTCTCTCTCTCTCTCTCTCTCTCTCTCTCTCTCTCTCTCTCTCTCTCTCACACACACTCTCTCTCCTCCCTCTTTCTTCAGATAGCTGACGCATCGCCCGCTCCGGTGCCCCACATCACCTGTCCCATGCCAGTCAGCCCACTCAGCCCTGCCCCTGACCCTGCCACCCCCCCCCCCCTCGTCCGACCCCCTTGTGTCTCTGCCCGTCTCCGTCATCCACGGCGGCTGGTCCGTCCGTCAGAGAAGCTTGTTAGCCTCGTCTGGATGCCGGTCCGAACAGCGGGCTCCCGAATAAACGGCCCCCTCAGCCGTCGACAGACACTAGCCACATAACGCGCCCCAGTGACGGTGGAGCGGCAAAGGCCCGTTTGTTTCAGACACTGGCGAGGGCGCATGGATTGGCATTCTCTGGATGTGTTTTACAAAGCATTACCTAGCATAGATGCGCCGCATATATGAGACATGGATATTAATGAAGTGCCAAAGACGCCCACACACTTCGTCTATGGTCCATTCATGCGGCGACCGTGATAACTATTTGCATCACTTTTAAGGAAACAAGTGGTTCAGAAGGCAGAACTATTGGTATAAGCTGGGGCCATCCCACAATCGGCCAAACAAAGCAGGCGAATGTGTGCAAACTAACGGGACGGGCGAAAGCCGGCAGACGCCGAAAGGCGACATGGTGCCGGTAAGCTCCAAGGAAACACGATACTGGCAATCGAAGTGGGACACACTACACTACACACTACACACTACACGGCGAACAATCGCTTTCACATTACCAAGACTTGTGGAAATAATAAAAAAGATGTAAAAAAGTATTGCAAGATCAAAATGAAAAAAGTATTTCACGGCAATCTCTTTGGAGCAAACGTAGAAAGAAGTAGCTCGACGACAAAAACGTCAGTAACATGTCAGAAGGTGTGTTCACGTCGTGCTCTGCTCTTGGCGCGGGGAGGGAGGCGAAAAGCTCATGCTACTAACAGAAGTAGGCCCAATGTGAACCAACATTCGTAGCTAGGGGCCAAAGAAATCAACGTAAACCCCTCAGCATGATTAACGATACAAGAAACGGGCATCCCTACCTGTTCAACTAGAGAAACACATTAATTCCAACCATCTGTGCAAAATTACCGTCTGGAAATAAGCGATGTGTGATGATGACGCCACAGCAATGCTGTTCCAAAGTGGACAGAGATCAACAGCCAACACCATCCAGCCCACACTGCACAGTGCCTCTGACACACAAAAGGACCTCTGACAAGGGACAATACGAGTCATCCCCCTCCCTCCCCCAGCGGTCCCGCCCGCGGACTGACCTTGTTTGGCCAGTAGCACGTGCCGGTTTCGCTCGATCTCCCGCAGTGTGGTTGATGAACGGTTGTCCACCTGGAGAAAAGAAGAGAAACACTTCAAGCTGGGGACGGCAACGTGCTTGGACGGCAACAGCTTGGAGATTCGGATACATTAGGCGAGTTCTCAAGGACCATTGTTGACTTCGCTGATCGCTGCGCTACTAATGCGCGCTTAAATGAGTGTGTAAGCAGCAAGAATACGGCGTTTCAGGGTTCAGTTCAGCGAGAAGTCCCAAATGTATGCGCTACAAGGCAACAAGACCGATATCCAATGATTGCTATGGCTCATTCGACAGGGAAAGTGACAAATAATAGGCAAGAAACGAGGTATCAAGGCCAAATACTTGTAAAAATAGCATCACTGACTTACGACCCGTTGTATGCTTTCACAATTTCTATATACGGCCGCGAAGCTGACTTGTTCAAAGGACAATTGTTTCAACCTTTCCTTAGTTTCCTGTTCAATGGGTTCACTACGCAACAAGCGATATCCCTTTCACCGACCACAGTACAATTAGCAGCTAATTACGGAGCCAAACAAATTCGCAAGCATTGATAGCAAGTTAGCAAATAAACGAGCAGTTTCATCGTTCATAATTTCTGACGAATGGGCCTCACTCCAATAATGATTTTGTAACCGTATGGGCAACTCCAAGAAAATAAGAAAAGCCACTAATGCACCCACCCATCCCCTAATGATGGCTAATGACGAATGTGCACGCGACTTTGTACTACTATTCTCCTACCTCTCCAAACCACCCCTAAGTGTCCCCGGTCCCGCAACCACCATCGACTCCCCCTGCCCGGGAGTTCCATCAAATAGCCACCCGACGCGACCACACAGCCTACCGGGGGCGTCCCACCCACAAAACACACGTCACGGTCACGGCACGAGCACACGACGAGCAGGGCGGCGCACCGCGCTGTCAGCACTACTGTTTGTCCGTGTTATTAATGGCTGCACCCGCGCCTGCGCAGTCGATTGTAGCCTGTTTGCAGATGATGTCGCGGAGAATAGCTGCTGAGGTTTGGTGAGCTTAGTCCAGCGAGTCGAATCTGGAGATTTTGCCAGTCAAGGCTGGTTCATAGACGGTAATTTAGTTTGTCCCGACCACACGGATGTGGCATTGTGCTACGTAGTCGCTAACCAGGTCCGCAAACCATCCGAGGCTGGGCAGAAAACAAACATTTGACTATCGCTTTGCGTCTTCCGGGTTGTCCGGGGAATTCCAGTTTTATTAAAGACATGGGTATGACATGCATTTGTTTCTCGTTTTTAGCAATGTAAAGTCCAAGAAAATGCGTGTATCACCCTAATCTTCCAGTAGGCATCGTCTCACATCTACTTGACGTATGATAGGTAGACCGCACATCACATGCGCCCGACCTGACATTCAATGTCTTTATGACTCTACAAAAAATAAGTGGAACGCAGTCGCATCTATTCTTTAAGCAAATGACTATTTAAACATTGCTCTAAAAAGTACTATATACGACACCTCTTTCTTATAATTTCAATAAATATAATACTGCTTCTATCTGCTCAACATGCTGCCAAGTGCCAAGGGCAGCAGCACTGGTCAGCTCCGAATCCCCTACCGACACGACACCTCGACTAGAGTTCAGCATTCACCACCCAGATGTCGCACGCCACCATCCTCCCTCTCCCAGAACCACTGCCACCGGTCCGCGTCCACCCGTCGGGGTCTCACCTGCATGGGTGAGCTGGCGGTGACGTTCTGTATCCGCTGCAGGTCGTCCCGCGACTTCCCCAGCATGTGCAGCTGCGCCAGCCGCGACTCGATGTACTCGTTACTGGAGAACTGCGAACATAGGGACGGTGGATTAGGTGGGTGCACAAAGCGGTAGCAGAAAGGTCTGGATCAGTGCGGTTCCCTGCCAGCTTTGGCCAGCGATTTCCTGATTTGACACTCTTCGAAACATTCATCTCCCGAGCCGCCGTCATTTGGGTATATGCGATGCTCTATCATAACAATAATTAACCCAAAGCTGACTACGTGGCGCGGCTCTCCCGGGTTACGAGCATTCGGGTCATTTCGAGTAGCCCTAGCTTTGCCGCTCCGTGCGACTCCGGGCTCTCTCCTTCTCTTCCTTGCTCTCACCTCCTCCTGGTCCGAGTTCTGTTCGGGCTCGTCCAGGCCGGGGTCGTCGGCCGCCTCGTCAACACCGGACTGCGACAGGCTGCTGAGGCGGCGCTGCGTCTTCCGCAGTCGGTCCCGCTCCTGTTGGGGGGACACACCGTCGGCGTCAGGGGACTGAGACGCGGGCAGTGCAGGTGACCAAACGGTCAGGGGACGGAGACACGGGTACTGCAGGTGACCGAACGGTCAGGGAACTGAGACAGGGGTTAGCAGGTGACCAAACGATCAGGGGGCTAAGATGTTAAGCTCTGCTAGCAGAGTGCGGTACCAACGTGGCACATTTGTCTGACAATCTACCTGCGCTGACCAAACGGTCCCTAGTTGAACAGATCTCCTGTAGCAGAGCACGGTACTGACCTGACACATTTGTTTGACGATCTCCCGCCGCTGTCGCTCCATGGCCTCTGTGTCAGACCGGATGGACTCGATCAGCCGGCGCTGCTGCTCCCGGACAGACTCCATCTCAGCACTGGAAAGGAGTAACACACAGCGTTAGGACACACATGTACTGATTTCAGCTTAGAACACTATAGGCAGCTGAGTCAGTTTAACAGACCCTATGAGCAGCACACGAAGTAACGGGAATGACAAACGAAGTAACGGGAATGACAAACTACAAAGTACGCAGTGCGCATCGAGGGTTACTTGAGGAGGGCTAGGCACGACTAAATCGATGATATCGGTTCGCTTTCAAGCCTAAGTGTGGACGGCAAACAAATTAAAATCCCTTTACCAAGGTGGCACACGGAACTTCTGTTCGCATGCTCAGGCTAAGCCTCAATCTTAACCCGGCAGGCGGTGGGCCTCCCAGCCACCTTCCGCGCGGTGGGGGGGGGGGGGGGGCATTTTTTGCCCCCCCCCCGTATCTCCGAAACTACTGGACGGATCCGGAAAATTCAAACGGCGTTCGATAGCCCTGTCAAATTTGTCAAGGGGAAACCAAATTTCATTGACCTCGGGGTCACTGATGACGTCACAGGTCAGGTCAAAGATAAAATGTTTCACCGTTCACGGGGCTTTTAGGAAAAGCGCTATAACACCGAGTAAAACGCATTTTGTCGAAAATCAGCGATAGGGCGTCAGTTGTCTAGTACATATGTTGCTATTAGAGGTCACTGGTCATAACAGGTCAGGTCACAGGTCAGGTCACCAGAGGTCACCAAGGGTCACCACATGAACCCAACTTTACTAAGGTTGTGCGATGCATGTTTTATGGCCAGTTTTTCATTTCCAACGTTGGTTATAAGACCATCAGGTACGGTTTAGGTCACTTTCTGGTGGAGGTTAGGTCAAAAAAAGGTCAAATTTTAAGTTGATATTGTTGCATAAAATGGGTATTGATTCGATGCAGCTCGTCACGGGGAGTCTAATGGTGGTCTTTGTTTTGCGCTACGATGTCTAGAATTGCTAAAAAATTGAGTTTGAAAATTGGACGTCATCAATTTTGAACAGTTTTTTCGCTATAACTTGGCCAAAAAAAGGTATCGATCTCAAATTTGGTATGTAGATAGAAAGCGGTAGGGACTATCACATATCCTCCGGTTTTTTCGAAATTCAAAAAACTTTTGGATTTTTCGGCTATTATATTCAAAAAAGCTATTTTTGATTTTTGGGGGTCAAAATCCAAAAATTTCAAAAATCCGAGATAGCAGTTTTGAAGCCCTCCAAATTCTACACCTTTTATGTCTGAAAGATTTTCTGTATTTCTAAAGCTGGTAGGCCTGACAGCTCTTCTCGCGAAACCTTTTTTTGGGTCGAAAATGGCAGAAATGACGTCACTCTGACGTCATTAGCGTTCAACCTATCATAGCCTTTGGAAAATTTTTGGTCACAATGTGCAATAGCTGTTCACGGGAGGGTACCGAAAGTTTGGTGACGATCGGCGCAGCGGTTCTCGAGATATATCGAGAAAAAAAACTAAGGGGGGGGGGCAAAAATGCCCCCCCCCCCACCGCCTGGAAGGTTATGTCTGAAGTCATTTGACCCACACTGCACCTATCAGCTCCCAAAACAATGAGCTCTATGATCTCGATCTTCACTATGGCATGCAAAATTCATAAAGCGCAAGAAATGCCACTAGGCGATCCAGCTAACACATTTTGAGAGAAATTACTTAACCGCCAAGGCACATATCAGGGCGACAGGGAACAAATGACACGCGGACATCCACCCATGCTAAGCTCGGTGCCAGTGCCTTGGCCATGGGCGTCGCAGCGTCAGGGTCTTTTCAGGAGCGGGGGCGTGACAGACAACAAATGAGAGCGCCACAGAGACAGACGGGGCCCAGCTGCAGCGCCGTCGCCCTGTCTGGCCGTGATCCAGGCCCCCAGCCGACCGGGCCCGGCGGCGCGCCCCGGCTCATCACCGGCCCGTCATTCATACAGCCACCTCGTCACGTCGACTCGCGTCACATATGTCAGTCTCGCGTCACATCTGTCACGTCACGTCAAGTGACAGCGTGTCACGCCGCTGGCAGCCCGACACCACATCGTTCATCGCTCTCGCTCGGCCGGTCGCCGCGCCTAATTAACCTCTCCACTCGGTGTCGGCGTCCACCGTCCGTTGGGCAGCGATGGGCCACATCACAGTCACCTCGGCTCCCCAGCCCCGCCGTGACCCTGGCCCCAGGTTCCGTTTGCTGTTGTTGGCCGTGTGGGGTACACTGCCGACAGCCAGGGGCGTCTCGAGGTGCCGCCGGCTGAGATAGGGCGAGGTAAACACCGTCCCCGGCGCGGCTCAGACGGCCACTGCTGACGTCATCGTGACGTCAGCTGGGAGACGGCCAATGACAGGCCGAGCTGGGCGGGGATAGGCGATGGCGAGGATGGTTAGTAATTACAGAGATTATTCGGTTTGAAGATGAAACGGCTATGTTTTTGTCTGTGAGCAATATGATAGCAAACATGGTGGAAGCTCTAGCGACCCTTGCAGCTAGTGGGGCCTCCCGTTCCCCAGTTGTAGCTCGATGCGACCCGTACCGTGTGTTGGCGATCCGCCGCTCCAGCTGGTGGATGACCCGCAACGACTCCTCCTTCTCTGTCTCCCAGCCGACCTGATCCTCCATGTGGTGGAACTCCTGGTCCTCGTGCGCCTGCAGAAAGTGAACAGCGCTAGATCAGACAAGCCAGACTAGTAAATACGGGTATAGCATATGAAGCTCACACCTGGCTGACCTGGCGGGTAAACGTGGGCGAAGTGCGCAGCTGTCACATGTAGACGAAGCGAAGTAGTTATGTCATATGACACCTCGTAACTGTCCGTCCGATCGTCCGTCTCAGGCCGGGTGCAAATATTTTGGAGGGTGCGTCAGATGTTTCAGCCATTGCTATCACGCCCGGGCGGCGGATCAAAGCGAGACAGCTGACTGAAACTACTCCGTAGTCGCTGTTTCAATAAGCATTCCTCCCGACGATGAAATCGCTCCGATAAACATCACAAACTGAACTGAAAGGTTTCGAAGTCTTCTGTTCTCTTTCTTTTTGTGAGCAGCTGAGAGTCAAACACTCATATGTTACATAGTAAAACAGCAACAACATTAACAATAACATTTATGGGCTTGGTAAGGCACCGCCATGGCACAGCATATTTCAGGGAAACATATCTCAACGCCACTCGTATACACACGACTCACGAGCGTCTGATCACCATACGGCCTATCCACTAAGCGCCGGTAAGCGTCGTTGCCCAACAGACAAAGTGTAGGCGAATAAGCGTCGTTAATGTTATCCGTACCTTCCGTTCCTGCTCAACGAGTTCATGTTGGTATTTGAGCTTCTCGAGCAGCTCGGTCTCCTCGTCGGTGGTGCCGCGGAACTTTTCACTGAGTAGCTCCAGCCGCTCCAGCTCGGCCTCGGCAGCCACAATCCGCGCCGCCAGCTGCGTGGAGAGAGGGATCACGGCGTCACAAGAGGTCACATTAAGGTCAAGATAGGATCATAGATGAGGGGTCGTCGGTTGGCTAAAGCAACGGGGTCACAAAAAACAAAGTCGCACAGAGGCTACGAGTGTAAAACATGAGTCACTTGTCCACGTAGGTCGAAAAGGGCAATTGGTCATTACAGAGGTCAGGCAAAGGTAAACGTCAGCCTCGAGACAAACACAGCCGTTCGAAGACATGGGACAGCTGTGGTGCCAACCAAATGACAGTGAGCAGCCGGATTGCGACTAAACTGGACGACGTCTAATATTTCAGCTGATAAACGGAGATAATTGTTGTATGTATAGTAACACTGAATTTGCCAGAGCCACTATCGTTTTAGTATCACCGGCCAAAAATATGTATTGGAGATGTCATGATGCAAGAGCCGGAAAGCAGATCTCGGTTGCGTAGTATTTCCACACCACTCTCGCTTCCTGCTGAGCCACCTACCAGGGCTTGATACGGGTAGCGAGACACCGACCCTACGCTGACACGTCGACAGACAGTTAAGTTGTTTGCTTTCAAAATCTCGCGGAGCCCGACACACGATAAAACGGCTTATATCTACCGCTCCGCATGTTCGGGATGTTGAAAAAGGTGTTGAGGTGTCAGCGGATTTCTCAATATCCTCTTCCCACTACTCTCATTCCATACACCCAAAATAGCAGGCGCCAATAGTTAGTTGGCTGATCTTGAGTGTAGCAGGGATATTGGATTATTCGTCGCACTGAAGCTGTGCCCTTATAGCCATGAGCTGAGCCTGAAGCGTAATGTTTGGCAGCTGCTGAACCACACCCATTAGCAGACACCCGGCGCAGTGTGAACAGACCAACCAGACCGGCTGACTGACAGGATCGGCACCGCACCCACCGAGCCATGCAACAACACCAGACGGAACAGACGACGTGGATTCGCCAGCCCACCACCGGGCCTGGGCTGCGTCTCAGTGAGGTATCGCCGGCCATATTTACAACCATGGCGCCGGTCCAGAGGACAGCTCCTGTCCAATCAATGACAAACAGTCTGCAGTTCGGGGACTGCGACACTGCCCGCGCCAGGGCACTGTCCACCCGCCCACACGGACTCGGCCAGGGGCCCGGCGCCTCAGACGGCACGGCTACAACCGGCGTGGGACGCCACAGGTGGCTGCCGCTGAGAGCTGGCCGGTCCGTCAGAGGCGGAGAAAAGGAGTCGGACCGAAGGGCAAACGCGAACACGAAAAAATACTCGTAGAATGCTAACAAAGTTCACGTGCCTCGATACAGATGATTCATTCATTCAACGAAATTACATCAGCACAAATTGCCAGCAGTAACTCAAACGAAAAAAAAATCATCAGACTTATCCTTCTCATGAAATCTAGCCACCACTCATGACATTCTCGACCACAAATCGTCCAGCTTTACGAATACACAACACACATAAATTGCATGTCCAGGAAAACCACAACTCCCGTCAGTCACCACCACTCCCGGTTCTAGCTCGTCACCAACCCCCCAACGCTGACCGACAGCACCGTTACCTGCTCCACCTGGCTGGCGAGCGACCCCACCATGGCTGCCCTATCCGCCCCCGTCCGCACTCTGCCGTTGGACCGCGCACAGCACTGCCTCGAGGCGTCACTGGTCTGACCGGAACTGACGGCGCGGCCCGACAGCGGCGGCGGCGGCGGCGGCCCGTGTGACCGGTCGGAGCCAGCGGCACACCAAGGTCACTCAGCCGCCGGCGCCGCTGACGCCCGGACCCCCAGCTCTGTCGGCACGGCCGGCCCGCGGGTGGCGCGGAGGCCGGCACCGATCGATCGTCTGTGATGCGGGCCCGCAGGGCCACGGGCGGAGGTAAGGGGGTCAGGGCAGACCGCCAGCTGCGGGTGCCACCCCGGGGGGGGGGGGGGGGAGGGCGGAAACACGCCGCCGCTCACCACTCCAACGCTCACCTTAATGCGTGACATGACAGTCACTAGCCAGGGACGGCCGCGAGCGCTTGTCAAATAGCCGGAACCACGAGCAAGCGGGACGGTCAAACAGAAAAGGTGTAATCAACAGGACGGTGAAATAACATCCTGGTCCACAGCACTGAGCTGCCCAACGAATAGTTCACTGCACGAGTTCCTGGGGGAGACTGGCGGCCGGCAGCCCAGAGAATCCCTATCGCTTCCCACTTCCTGACCACGACCCGCATCCCCGTCCGCCGCCGTGAAATACCACCAACGCCAGATTTCGCAGAAAAGTGAGAGATGTTTCGCAATGAGCGTTGCTTGGATGAAAAAGAAACGTAATGTAGGTACTGGAAACACCAAAAGTTAAATGAGGAGAAACAACAAGCCAAAATAACCATCATTATTAAACGAAATTCGAAACGCATTTTTCCGTTCCCTAGCTAATCGGATATTTCCGTTTAGGCTGAATGACTCATGTAAACGGGGTAATTAACTCAAACTGGACAATTTATTGCTAAACGAAACGACGCATGTTGCGGTCTCGCTTTTCCCTTAAATTCCGCGTTGTTCTTCCCAAAAACATCCCACACCAGTGGCACCAGCTACCGTTCCCATTTTAGCGGACCGTTCACGGCCGTCCCAGCAGACAGGTTCAGTGCACGAGTTTACTCACTCTTGGCGCTTGGAGGGGAGCCAACAGCGAAAGAGCCGCCTGCGACACCCGACCCCGCGCCGCCACAACTCCGTGTGCCCGCAGTTTGAACAGAGAACGGCAGGGGCACGCGGCATCGGAGCGATAGCAGTTATTGGCCGTCATTGGAGCAGATTGTTTCTGCTCATAGACGCGATACTAACACACCAACGCTCAGCGATGCCCTGCTTCAGTTCAGCTGATGGGCTGACCTGAGCTCTGGCGTACGAGTGGATTAGCTCTTCGACGTATGCGGTACGCATGTATACGCTAAGCTCGATTATGACTCAGAGTGGGGTTCAGTATGAGTTTGAGCAGATGCAGCTCTTTACTAAAACAACAGAGACGCCTCTGCTGCATTTGCGACCTCAGATTGCTCTTACAAGTGCCAGCTTTTACCATAAGCATCTCTGTGTTACGGTGACACTTAGCTATCTCCTTCCGTTTGGTACCATTATTTTCAAGTTTTTTTTTCCAGTGCTTATTTATCTCTTGATCAGCCTTATTCGTTCAGCATTTCGGCAAAAGTTTCCAAGCGTTGTCGTCAGATGTCGCCAGGTTCCTCCCGCACAGACACACCGCGCCTTGGCGCCACCTATGTATAAGTTACTGGGAACAGTGGATGAAACCCCCTAAAAGCGGCTTCACCAGCGCTTCAGCAGCACCCACTCACGGTCGACCATCTCAACACAGTCCCTGCCTACATCATAATCTGCCCAATGTCATCCACCCCAAATGCATACCACACCAATTCTATCACGTCAGATAAGGTCACCCAACCCGCCCCGGGCAGTGGTGCCGTCTAAAGTATCACCCGCCCCGCGTTGTGCCCACCTGATCAGCCTCCTGGGTCTGAGTACCACTCTAAACCCACCCCACGCGTACCCACCTGATCGGCCTCCTGAGTCTGCCGGCGCCGCGTCTGCTCGCGGCCCTCAATGAGCCTCCTCCCGCTCCCCTCCTGTCCCAGGCCCCTCGCTGTACCCACCTGATCGGCCTCCTGAGTCTGCCGGCGCCGTGTCTGCTCGCGGCCCTCGGTCCGACTGGCCAGCGTCTCTCTGAGATCAGTCACCTCCTGCTCCAGGCGAGCCACCGTCTCCTGGTGGGTCTCCACCTCCCCCTCCAGCAGGGCGTGCTCCATCTCCAGCTGCGGGGTCAGGTCACACGTCAGAGGTCAGCGGGGTCGTCACGGGTCAGAGGTCAACAAAGCGTGCTCCATCTCCATCTCCAGCTACCGGGGTCAGCGGGGTCAAACCAGGTCAGAGGTCATCAGGGTCGCATCGAGTCAGAGTGGACACTGGCCTCGGTTCATCGGGAGGGAAGATTAAACTGACGGTTAAAAATATGCGAATGAATATGGAAAAGTATACCCGAGCTTCAGTGATTAATATGCACTATACTGTAGTCATAATGCAGCATACATAATTCAGCGATGTTAGCCTAACATTGACGTTATTCGTAGTAAAACCTATCGTGCCGCGTAAAGCGCACAAATACGTGTGTAGGAATACACGTAGGGCCACGTTTTTTTTAAATGAATGGTGTGCCATAAAACACAAGTAATCTTGATAATACACGGGATATGGGTGTCGTTTTAAACATCCAGCAAGAAACTAACACTATGACAGTCACCTCATTCTGCCGTCGGGAGGAAAAAAGCCGTATCTGGGGCACTTTTTCGAATTGAAAATTGTTCAGGAGAGGCAAAAACGCGTTTTTTGTTATAAAATTCGTTAACTTTGCTCAATAACGAAACAAAACATACTGCAGTGATCGGAAAGAAATTTTACATCCAATGAAAGTGGTTATAAAAGGGAAATTATTTTAACCTAAAAACAAAAGGCGAAAAACTTTTTTGCTTCCAATTCAACCCCGAGTTTGCGGAATCTTTCTTTCACGAAAAAAGCCGTATCGTGGAAGAAAGCCGCATCGTACGCGACACCTGAGCAATACTGTCATGCAAAAAGCCGTATGTCTGATACATTGGTTAACCGATCGGGAATAAAGCCGTATCGCCATTTTTGTTTAATCATATTGTCGTCAAAAAGCAGCATCATCGGTGCATTTGTATTGACAGCGTATTGGTTCATAAAAGTACTAAATCAGTTCCGCTACTGGTTCCGTTCCACTGCTTCAGCTCTTAAGTATCTAACTTACTATTCCAACAGAATCCGTCTGTCTGTGAGTGTGTGAGTGTGTGTGTCCGCACATCGTGTAGTGGGTTCAATTTAGCCGGCCTACAGGGCAGACGGTATATCGTAGGGGGTTGAAATTTGCACACCTTCTAGGTGACAGAGCGGGTCAGCGCCTTTTCTAGGTTTCCACTCGCTGGGGTGCACGGTTCGCACGTGGCGCGCGCTGGAAGAACGTCAATGAAATTTTGATCGGTTCGTAGATCTTCACTGAGAGCCGGGGTCGACAAACTTACTGAGCTAAATGCATGCCGATCGGTGGCGGGTGCCTCGCATTGGCGGATGGGCAAGTTTTTAATTTGAATAAATAGTGGCGAGAGATTGTGTTGATTTTCGTTCAATGGAAACAGTTTGTGATACGAGTATACAAATGCACCGCATTTGCCGCAAGGCGTCACATTGGTCACAACGCGCCATTTTTGCCGCAAATCGCACAGTTTTGTCAAATATCACTGGCGGTCCCAGGGGGGGGGCCACGGGGGCCATGGCCCCCCCTTTGGTGCTGAAAGGTGGGGCCATACTATCTTTTGGCCCCACCTTTCAGATCGAACAAAAGTCCTAAAAAAGCTTTTCGTATGTTTCATTTTCTTTCTTGCGCCATCAAAGGACGTAAATTTCACTCATGAGTGGGCTCAGTTTCGCATTCTGTCAATTTGGCGGTCAGCGTCGCTGGCACCGGTTCACGAGTATGGCCGGATCTTATACGGAATATCAGCGTGGGTTTACTTGAGGCTCTCGTAGGCCCAGCAATGGCTGGAATGAGACCCGCTTCGGCAGTGGTGGGTGGGCCCTGCTAAAGGAGATTGGCTTAAGACACTAAAGTAAGACCTCATGGGTTGGTGCTGTGCACCTCAGAAGCCCGGTGGTGACGCCGTATGCCGGCTTGGTTTCTTAAGGATTAGCGTGGGAACTCCGGGGCCTGCATAGAGTTTGCATGAGCTAGTATGTAATCTCAGGGGCATGTGTGTAACGTGTACACAGTGGCGGTCGCCGGGGGGGGGGGCATCAGGGCCATGCCCCCCCAAAGGTCAATAAAGGGGGCCATCATATCATTTCCCCCCCTCAAACAACCAATGGGCCCCATATAGGTGTATGGGGCCCTCGATCGTCACGAGGCTCAAAAAACCCACGCCCAGCTATTAATATAGCTCCCACACCGGTCTTTGAGCGCCCTACACTGACCTCTGAGGGAACTTCAGTGGCGGTCAAGCGCCCACGTTGACCGCTAAGAGCCTAAATCAACCTCTGAGACCCCACATCTGGCCTATGAGGGCCCCTAACCGGCCTCAGGGGTCCCATCCGGCGTCTGAGGGTCTCACACCGGTCTCTGGTGGCCTTATTTCTGTCTGTGGTGTCCCAAGACGAATCTTTAGGTGCCAATGAGGGCCCCGCACTGGCTGCTGAAGACCCGATGCCGGCCTCTAAGGGCCTGCATTGGCCTCTGAGGAGGGCCCATCTTGGCCTTTGAGGGCCCTCTGCTGGCCTCTGGGGGTCCAACGACGGCTCATGCCGGTCTTTTAGGGCCCCACGCTGACCTCTGAGGGCCCATATTGGCTCTGTAATGACCCACATTAGCCTCTGAGAGCCCAACTCGGTCACTGATTGTCTCAAACTACTGGCCTTTGTAGTTTGCAGGCCCTGTACTGGTCTCTGAGGGCCCTAAACTGGCCTCTACGTGAAAACATACATGGGTGGGTTTCTGAAGATCAGAGGGCTCACGCAGTCTCCGGCACAGCCTTACGTTGGTCCTGATCGAGATTACTTTACGTCCTGATGGTCCCGCGCAGATTCCCTCATATTTCGACGTCGGGACCCCATGAGCCGGTGTGGGTCCTGGGGCTGGCAGAGACTGATGAATTCCTTAGGGCTCAGGGCCAGTCTTTTTAGCAGTAAGACTAGGCAGGTTGAGTGAGCCCCAATAGAGCCGTTGCGAAGCCCCGCAGGAGTCGCGCGCGGGCCTCAGATGCCAATTTTGAAAGCTCGGAACCTGTGGGGGGTCTCCACTCTCCAGAGGTCGGTGTACCTACTCTCTCCCGCCGCCACACAACTAGATATGTTATGTTACCCATATGGGTAAATGCCATAGTCTGAAAATGCTCTCTGGGTTTCACATGCTTGTTCAAAGCAAGAGGTATCTGTACTTTTCCGAATTGTTTTATAGTGGTAAGGTCATGAATCCGCGTGCCTGACATTCCAGCATACCTATGCTACACCGATCCGTCGTCATGGTGCAGTGGGCCGACCGGTGGAAGCACCGTGGGACGGGAAATGGAACTGGTGATTTTGTCTTAAATTGAGCTTAAAGATTTCACGCAAGAATCAGATGGATGAAGCATAAGTAATGCCAACTGCGCGGCACCTCGTGGACGTAAAAAATTAGCCGATCACCCCCCCCCCCTCCCGGTGACGGATAAATGTTATGTCCCGCGAGTGTGACTTTGGCCCCCCCTTTTGCTAGCGGCTGCGACCGCCAGTGTCAAATATAGTCCGATATGGGTGCAATTTGGTGCCAGGATGCATGCTCAATCGCCGGGTGAAAATGCGCCGCGTTTGCCGCAATGCGCCACATTTGTCACAATGCGCCATTTCCGACAAAATCGATTAGGGGTAATGCAATGGCACGAATAGGAGCAGGGCTGGGAACACTTTAAGCCTGATATTTTAGTACTGATTGGATCAAATTATTCTGTGACCTGACATGACCCAGCGGTGTTGGTAGGGGTAGGGGATAGGGGTGGTAGTAGTGGTAGGGGTAGGTAGTGGTAGTGGTAGGGGTAGGGGTAGGGGTAGGGGTAGGGGTAGTGGTAGGGGTAGTGGTAGATGTAGTGGTAGTGGTAGGGGTAGTAGTAGGGGTAGTGGTAGGGGTAGTGGTAGGGGTAGGAGTATGGATAGTAGTAGTGGTAGGGGTAGGGGTAGGGGTAGATGTAGTGGTAGGGGTAGGGGTAGGGGAAGTGGTAGTGGTAGGGGTAGTGGTAGGGGTAGTGGTAGGGGTAGTGGTAGGGGTAGCGGTAGGGGTAGGGGTAGGGGTAGGGGTAGGGGTAGTGGTAGGGGTAGTGGTAGGGGTAGTGGTAGGGGTAGTGGTAGGGGTAGTGGTAGGGGTAGTGGTAGTGGTAGGGGTAGGGGTAGTGGTGGAGGCAAAAGCAGAACAGTGGCCCGGGCTGATCCCAGCTGGACGAGAGGTGACCTATGTGACCTGGCCTGACCCAAAGTGACCGGGGCTGACCCCTTTGACCCGTATTGACCCCGTATCACCCAAATTTCATCCAACAACGCCCTCAGAACAGTTCTTTTTTAAATTCTCTTCACATTTCCGTCCATATCTATGCTTCTAGACAACACATCGACATGAATCAAACACCATTCGAAAGCAAATTGGCTGGTGCCGCAATTTTTTTTCCTACCACGCAGCAAAGCAAGTGGCGCAGCCGCTTGTCTAACTTACTATTCAAACAGAATCCGTCTGTCTGTTTGTCTGTTTGTTTGTGTGTCCGCACATCGTGTAGTGGGTTCAATTTGTTACGGCTACAGGGCAGACGGTACGACGTAGGGGGCTGAAATTTGCACACCTTATAGGTGACAGAACGGGTCAGCGCCTTTTCTAGGTTCCGACTCGCTGGGGTGCACGGTTCGCGCGTGGGGCACGCTGGAAGGACGCCAATGAAATTTTGATCGTTTCGTAGATCTTCATTGAGAGCCGGGGTCGACAAACTTTGTGAGCTAAATGCATGCCGATCGGTGGCGGGTGCCTCGCATTGGCGGATGGGCAGGTTTTTAATTTGAATAAAAAGTGGCGAGAGAATGTGTTGATTTTCGTTCAATGGGAAGAGTTTGTGATACAAGTATAAAAACGCACCGCGTTTGCCGCAATGCGTCACATTGGTCACAAGGCGTCATTTTTGCCGCAAATTGCACAACTTTATCTAATATGCTGCAATAAGGGTACAACTTGGTGCCA